CAAGCGTAATAACTATTTATTAAACATTTATTTAATTTCAATATAACTTAGCATATTTTTTTTACAAAAGTGGATAATATTTACCTTAATTCATAAGAGTAATGTATTAATAAAATTATGTTGTATTAAAAGGAATATTGATAAATACGTTTTTACTAAAGAGAAAGAGAAAGTCTAATTAAAAGACTAAGAAATGAAAATTAATTGATATTTACGCACATTCTTCAAATGTTTTTACCAGGAAAAGTTTTACAAATTATCACAAATTTAGTAAAATTATAGACTAAATTAACTGAATAGAGAAAAAAATGGTTTTTAACTAATTCCGATAGATATATTATTTTTTTTCATGGATTATGTATATTGTACAACGTAGCGTTACGTTTCTTTCAGTAGTTTATTTTTCATACAATTCTTTTATTTGTCTAAAGTTCATAGTATTACGTACAAAGATAGCTAAATATTTAAAAGGCTTTCAATGTTATACTGCTAATAATTCAAATTATTTTTTCATAAGTTATTCTATCTTCATATCGTCGTGTAATTAAGTTTCTTGTCTTTCCAAGACACTTTTTACATTATTTTGTTCTTCAAAATAGCATTTTTTTTCTTCCCCATTTATAACTTAATTCGAAAATTTAGAAACGGTACTAATTTTTGAAGCATGTACGAAACTATTTATAGATTTTTTTCTATAAGAGGTGTTTAAATGCTCAATGTTGATTCAACTTTTTTTTACCTTACTATCTTAATTATTTTTAAAAGAAATGTTATTTATTAATTAAAGGAAGATTATATAAAAATACCGTGACTAACTTTCAAGAAAATGCTCAAATAACAAAAATGGAAGCAGTTTTTTCAATATTATAAAATAATCCAAAACGTAACACTTTTTTGTTACCATAGCAACCTTTTGAACGTACAAGCATTACACTTTTTTTTCTAATAGTATTAAACAAAGAGCGATAAATAATACAGGTGCGTAATATAATATACACATACATTTTAACTTAATTAATGTGAATATATTTATGTTTCTGCCTTTGTACATAAATACAACTCTACAACTAATAATATGAAAATATATGCTTTTGAAACAATCACTTGGATACGCTTTCTCGAATGATCCCTTTTCTTAAAGCGTTCATTTCCAATAACAGCAAAACTTTATTTACAATCTGTTTTTACACCATCAATAATTGTGAGATTTAATGTTACTATATCGTGATCCATTTAAACAAAATCTAGTTTAGAAACTTGAATACAAATCCTACGGGAATGATACTTAAATCTATTATATAGCAGTAACTGTTATAAAATTGGCAGTGAGTGCTCAGTATTAAGGCTATACTATTTATTTTTGAGTTAGTTATATATTAGAGTATTAGTTTTGAGACAAGTTCTAACTACTAAACTAATTAGAAATATACGACATTGTATAAAGACATATTAAGATATTTGATTCTTTTTTAACCAACAAATATTCATTTGTGTCATTTTCATGTGAGTGCACAGTATGGCATTTTAATACAAAGCTCTATATTAATTTTGCCCAATAACAGTTCTTTAGCCTTAAAAAACTTTCAACAATGTGTAGAATTTTAATATCTCATAGACATACGGTTAAGAAAAAGTACTGGGTACAAATATTTATGTATGTATGTATGAAAAAATCTATCGAATCCTGCAAAAAATATACTGGGTCATATTGAAAGTTTTGTTAGCTGGCCTTCGCTTTCGTGTTAAATTTAAGAAATAGTACAGGATGGTATGGTTAGGTGTACAATTCTATAAACATTATAAAATATCTCCCAAATGTTTCATGTTCCTGGAGAATTTTCCAGTATTAAATGCTTTAATATAAATTGGCCATTATATTGAAGTAACTAAAGTAAAATTTTTAGTTTTGATTAAAATGCTGCGAAATTCATATATTTTCCTTCTCCTATTCTGGAAAATGGATGACATAAATTTCAACAGTAAAAAAAGTTATAAAACTCAGTATTTATTTGTGAATTTATTGCTAGAGTAAAATAAATAAAACGGCACAATTACTGAATGGAAGTGGTTGAGATAAAAATAAAACAGCTGCAATTTTATATTTTCGTGATTAGATCGAGCGTTGGTAGTATTAAAAGGTAAAAAAAAAATATCAAACGAAAAGATTTGACATTGAAAAATAAAACGAAATAACTTTAACTTTAATCTATCGTGTTTAGAAACACGTCCTAGAACAGAGAAGGCATTCTCCCGGGTTGTCAGAAACGAGAAATCTGATTTTTTAATAGTTCGGATATAGTGGCATCTTTTGAATTTTCCCTTTCTGCATAGTTCATGTTTGCTAAGTCAAGCTACTAAATTGATCAATGCGGAGGCCTTCTCTCTTCTAGGAGATCTTAGTTTAGATTGCACGTCGGTAATCTCAAAAGAAACACACAAAAAAAATTATAGAATGTAAAGGTTTAACTAGGCTCATTTTAAATTTTAACTATCGTGATAAAATAACCACGATGCTCTCCAAAGAAAAGTATATAAAACTCTCAGAGCAATAGGATACAGTAAAGACAAAAGTAAAGGACTAAGAAAAAAAAGTATGTGCTCACAAGTGACACTAAGAGCTCAGGTTCAAATCATGTCTATAGCTTAGCTGTTGCTGTTTTGCTTGCATATTAACATCAGTTTCCATTGATCGCATATAATATCGTCAATGACTGATATAAAAAATCATCATCCAGTGATAAGCAGATTGAATTTTTTTTTGCCTGGGTTTAAGGTTAAGAATTTCAAATATTATAGCCACATACTTCAAGAGCATCACGGGGATAAAAACATAACAAGTATAATAAGATGTTAACAATGTTTACATTTTATTAATATATTAAATATGCAAAATTCAGTGGTAATGGGAAATAATCTACTATAAAACATAGATTTAGACAAAAATCATTTTACAAAGTATGATTTTACACAAACAAATTTGTTAATGGATGGCTGTAAAGCTGTGGAACATGATTAAAGTTTTAATCAAGAAAGATAGACATTAAAGGTATTTATTTATAAAACAAATTGTGTAATAAAGTTTAAAAGTAAGTAAATTTTTGAAGTAATCGATCTATTTCGAATTTAAAATTTAATTTGCATGTGATTTGCTCTAAAAAAAGTAACATTTTTTCTACTTATGTATAATAGTAATACATAATTGTCTTTATTGTAAATAACAAATTAATACATAAAAATGAAATAGTTTTTGGATGAGTTTGTTCCTCTTAATTAATGCATGTCAGTATTGTTTCTAAGCCCTGCAGAAAACTAACAGTTGCGGCAACTATTTTTTTAATATATAATAAATGAAGTTTATAGCTATTTCTGATAGCAACTAGCTATGACTTCGCTCCAAAACTCCTAGACGTTTCTTATGTATTGTTTTTAGAGAAAAAACTCTTTGTATTGTTTTTAGAAAAATTTTTCACGCAATATAAGTATTTTCATGGTTAAATTTAATTTTAGATTGAAAGTTTTGTTGAAAGTAAAATTCTACTAAATGCATTCTACTTTTGTTGAAGGTGGCAAGGGATTTGAATAAACAAGTTTATTAAAGTAATTAAAAAAACATGCACAAAAAGCACTTCTAAAGCATTTAAGCGTTAAAAACAGGAAAAACTCTCAGCATGACCCAGTGTTTAGTATTAATTTTCTAATTATAATTGAACTATTTCTAATCGAAAAATATAACTTAATTTTTGATTCATGGACTTACAATTTCAGAAGCTTATGATTTCAGTACATTTAAAACCTAGATATCAAATAAATAAATATTTTTATTATAAAACTTGTTATTATTTTCCAATGCATATAGATAATTACATTATACACATCTGCTTCATATTATCAAAATATAATAATCATTTCCTTTGTTCATTTATTAAAAAGTACTGCAAAAAAAGCATTTCAAATAATTTTGAGCATGTAGTATTGTATAAATGGAAATTTGAGAACATAAAATATAAACATTAACGTAGAACGTTAAATAACAGAGAAGGCCTCACAATTATATGTTGTGAATGCATAGATAATTGAACATTTATGTATTGGCACATAGTATCACTTACCCTCATCTGCATAATAACCTGTTATGCATTGTTTTAAATATTACCCTAATATCGACATAGTTCTTAAATATTTATTAAAACATGCAATCAAATACTATCTCAATTCTATAAATATTTTACATCGTTTAAGATGTGTCAAAAAAGCATATACTCAATGTTAAGCATTTAACGTAACGTTAGTATTTAGCTTACGCAATTGTTAAACATTTGTTTAACGTTTACAAACAACAAAACACTTATTCGTTTCTAATGAAACAAACAACAACACTATTATGTGAATTTTAAGAACACATGTTTAGAAGTTTTCATTCTTATGAAGCTATTTAAGTTTAAATCATAAGAATTTTTGTATAAGGATTTATTACAGAATTAAGTGTTTAATATTTAATTTACGAAAGTAAGTCAAACATACTTGTAAATCTGTACATCACTCTTTTTCTGTAATAAATAGTTTAAAAATATAAGGATTTATTGCTGCGTAATTAAATATTAACAAATGCAATGTTAGTTAAACTTTGTTAAAGCTAGCTTAACTTCGTTAGATGAAAGTTAGTTAAATTTTCTGATAGTATCTATCAAACAAATAAAAAATTAAGTCAAAGCAAATAGAAGAGTTTAAACTCTAGTTAGGTTTTCATACAAATGATTCTAAGAAATATTTAGAGTATATGCTTTTTTAAAATGCACCTTAATCACACTAAAGCATATGTTTTTCTTAATATTTACCCGATACAATCATGTAATACATGAAACGCCCATTAGAATTCACCTCAATGTATAGTTTTTTTTTAAAAAATAACTATACATTCCAGAATATAGTTTTTCAAAAAAAATAACTATACGTGCACTTCAACTTATAGTTTTTTTAAAGAAAATAACTATACGTACACTTCCGCGTATAGTTTTTTTTAAAGAAAATAACTACACGTACAATTCAACGTATAGTTTTTTTTATGCAAAAAGACTATACGTACACATCAACGCATAGTTTCTTTAAAAAATAACATTAGAGTCAACTTTCACGTAGGAACATTTTCAAAAAATTATACAATTAAAAGAGTTTGGAACCATATATATCAATATACACAATTTCTTATTACTCCTATTTAAAATTGATACAAATTAAGGTTGTCTCTCTACTAAATTTACATCTTAATGAAGTAAATTGTATCGTGTAAATTGTTCTTCACTATTTCAAATGCATCTTAGCGTCTAATGATGTATTTGACTTATGCATAAATACTTGCAAGTAATTCTTTAATATATGTAGTATGCACCAGTATTTGAGCCGATCATGGTGACTGGTGATTGCAAAGCCTCCACTGTAGTCAAATCCATATCAATTCCACTACGACATTTTTCCCACCAAAGTATAACTGGTGTAATACTCGTATACAGAGGCACTTATTTTGGGATAGATTTTCTTTCGATGTTAGGCCCATTAGAGCAGACACCGAAGGCTAAAAAGAGTGGAGTGGCTCTGAAAAAGAATGATTAATGTTATATTTAAAAAGTTTTGAGTTGATGTAAAGCAATTAAAAAAGTTTTATCTGTTTTACATCAACGGTTCCCAAATGGTCTTAAGTAGAACCCTGGAGTTAAAAGGGTTCCGAGAGTTAAAACTAAAACTTTTTTTATACATTTTTTTTTATCATTTTTGAAATTTTTTATTATACTTAGACCTAATCAATCGTCCATTATTTACTTATTATTTCAATTGTATTTATAAAGATATATTTAAAGTAAAAGGCCAAAGAGAGAGAAGTTGTAACTCAATATATATATACAATACTGGCCAATAAAATTGCTACACCAGGAAAGAATGTAAATAGCAAAATGATATTTACTGGGCACATACATAGTTGGAAGAAAAGGTGATTAAATTTTTAGGATATTTGGACGCGTAGATCCTGAGGAATCAGTACTCAGAGCAGCCTCCCCTGGCAGAAATAACAGCAGTTATTCTCCTGGGCATCGAGTCGAACAGAGATTGGATAGCATGGAAGGGTTACGGCATTCCATGCAGCTTCTACATTATGCCACAATTCATCGACCGTAGTCACTGACGAGTGGTGGCGTGCCAGTCGTTCGGCAACCATTGACCAGACGTTTTCAATTGGTGAGAGATCAGGAGAACGTGCTGCCCAGGGCAACAAGCGAACGCGTTCGGTGTCAAGGAAAGCCAAGTCAGTGCGGACTCCATGACGCCGTGCATTGTCCAGCTGAAACTAAGTGTTATGCAGGACGCGAAGATAAGCAGAGCAACTGGCCCTAACACATCAGAAATGAAATGGCTGCTTTTCAAAGTGCCAGCAGTTGCAGACAAGAGGTGAACGAGACGTGTATCCAATAGCACACCATGTTATTACTCCAGATGATGAGTGAGTATGACGGTGTCGAATGCAATCTGCCAATGGGCCTTCTCCACTATGTCACCAAATACGGATGCGGCCATCATGATGCTGCATACAGAACCTGGATTCGTCTGAAAAACGGCGTTAGGCAATTCATGAGCCCAAGTTCGTCGTTGATCACACCATTTGAGGAGCTTCCGCCTGTGATGCAGCACCAAGGATAGCCGAAGCCATGGTCGCCGTGCTGACAGCCCATGCTGCTGCAAACGTCGTCGAACTGTTCATGCAGACGCTGGTTGTCCTACAAATGACCCCATTTGTTGACTTAGGGCTCGTGAAGTAGCTGTACGATCATTTAAGACCATGTGAATAACATGCCGGTCTTCTCGGCTGTTTGTAATGGGGGGCCACTGACATCCTGCACGGAGCTCCATATGACCGTCATGAAACCATCGATTCCATATTCTGCTAACAGTCATGGGATCTCGACCAACGCGAGCAGTAATACTTCGGTATGATAAACCACAATCCCGGTAAGCCCCAATTTGGCCTCGATCAAATTCAGACACGTGCTGGTAGGCATTTCTCTCTACACGAGGGATAAAAAAATTTTTTTATCCAAGAACAAAGCTCAATTTCAATTTCTGTATGAGAAATTTACTGTCAAATCTCTTCTTTTATACACATTTTAGGTGTCGCTACCGCATCCTGCTTTGCATGAATGCGCTGATAATCTAATCATCTGCAAACCGCAACATGCTTGATCCGTCCAGCAAATTTCACGTTCCTGGTGTAGCAATTTTAATGGCGAGAGAAAGAGAGATATTATGTAATGTTATTATGTAATGATAAAAGAATTATAGATTAAATATAATCCATAAATAGAAATTACTTAAATCTAACTCACAATTAATTAAAACCTTTCCCACAAAGAAAGTAACAGTTAAATATGAAATTGCAGGAAAGAAATTATCGGAAATTTTTTCTTAACGTGTAGCTTCTTTATTTTAGTACTTTTTTTCTCTTGTAAGTAGAAGATATTTAAATCACTGTTAATTTTTATGCACAAAAGAAAGATTTACTGAAGTTAAAGATGGAAAGAATTTTTTGTGATAAGATCGAAACACGGATTTACGACGGTATTGAGTGTGTTGAAAAGTGATTACTGAAATACGATTCCTTGTCGTATCATCAAATTAAAAATTGATTTGATCTAGCTGTAGCAAAATTAAAAAGGGTGCAAATCTATCAAATTGATTAAACAATTCTTCTGTTACAAATCGGAATTTTTGACAAAATTGCTACTCATTAAAATATAAGTTTAGGTAAAAATGGCAAAATGCCATTTTTTAAGCGAACAATCTTTTAAATGTTTGTCATTTCGGAATTACTTTAAGCATTGCCAATTTAATGCTTTCGTGTTTTCCACAGTAGTTCATTGATTCTAGTTTAAGCTATTATGGAATTGTTTTCTCGAAGTTTATTCTAAGTTACGTTTTCCTCCAACAAATTTGCGTAAAAAAAGTCATTATTGCTCGCGAATGAGTACTTAGATTAAAAAAAAAAGGGTGTTGATAAGGAGTAAATAAATGCCACGTTCACGAGATTTTACGTAAGAAACAAACATTAATTTTAGATTAGAAAATTTTGCTGTAATATAAATTACTAATTCGCTGGAGTCCGCGAATTAACGGTCTTGAGATTCGAGGAATTCCGAGAACTAGCGATCAAATGCCTGGATAATATTTTACATAATTGTGGTTTTCAAAATAAACTGAAAAAATTGCCAATAACATTAAAATGAATAATTCTTTTACAAAGTAATGCGTTTCCCTAATAATCATTTTAAAAGTTTTTAACACTTCTTTTTAAAGCAATACAGAAACAAATTTTTAGCTAGACTAGATTCATCTCCAAGACGACAAATTCAACTGTCTAACAATAAACCTAATTAAACATCGCGCTCTAGTTTTTCCCTATCTACAGAGCCATCTGTTGATGGATTTTGAAATTTGGTCTGAATGAATCCTTGCTTCCTTAGCAAAATGAGAAAATTATACTTTTTTTTATTCCTTTCCATTTAAAAAAAAATGATTTTTCAAGTCGTCCGATATTTATTGGCAGTCGGAATTAAATAATTCATTCCGATGCATAAAGTATCGGAATTAATAAAGAGTTTGTTTTAGGAAATATAATGTAAGAAATAAACAATATGCAACAAAAAGTATGAAAAGAATTTACTTTTGAAGCAAGTCATTTTCGTAATATAAATGATATAAGCTTTTTTTTAAATTCTAGCACAAATAAAGTATGTTTTCAAAACTCTTACATAGGATAATCACTCAAGTGAAACGCAATGTGAGCTGTCTTTCAGGGACGGGACACGCTGTAAAAAGGAAGAGAATAATAAATCATAAATGTTTTAAATCATTAAATCTATTTATGCTAGATATATTTATGATAATTGATGCATGAATAATTTGAACACAAACACATCTCTATACTACACAAATGACCATAGAAAAATTTAAAAATTTTTTAATTTACTCAATAAAATGTAGGAAGTTTTTTCGCATTTCTGAAAATCTAATTTGAACCTTTGAATTAAATTTCAAAAATACCTTATAAATATTGGAGAAGTATTTGAAAAATTTTGTTGATTAAGCTGTGCTACTTTTCTACTTTTTAAAGATCAAAATCAATCTAATTTATTGAATTACATATGAAAATCGCCATTAAGTATTGTGAAAAAAGAGTAAAGTTTATAAATATGGGAAATTCAAGAAGTATGGTAATTATCAAATATTTACGACAACACCTACTGAATAAAATATTTTCAAAAGATGTATTTGTCGAAACTAAACTAAATTTGTCTTTCAAACTTACATGTTCAAAATATATTTAATAAAATGTTTCAGTTTCACACAAGAAGAAATATTTTCAAAAAAAATATTCCCGCAAAATGTTTAATAAAAAATTAAAATATTTTTTTACATCAGAACATAACAAAAGAAACTTTGAAAATTGCAAAAATTTATGTTTTTAAGAGCTAAAGAAGTTTCTGAACATAAAATGAGACTATTGAAAGCAATATCATTAAATTTAGAAACATAAAATGAACTGAGTTAGTATACCTTTGAAGTGCTTCATTTTATTATAGATTATATAACATGAAACTCCACGTAAAATATAACTCAATTAAAACGCATAATTAAATAAAAACAACACAGGCAGATCATAAAACAACTTCGAACATAGCAATCTATGGTATAAAAAGAAAAATGAATCCAACTTTGAGCTTTAAAGTCAAGTGTTTCATTTTTGAGCCCAAGAATATTTTTAAAAATAGCAACTTCTTAAAAATAACAGTTAAAATAACAAGAAAGAAAGAAAAAGATACTTCTTTTGTTATGCTATAAAGTGTTAAGGAAGCTATGAATAATTATTAAAATTAATATTTAAGAGAGGTCTGAATAAAAGTTAAAATTTAAAGCAAATCTTTTGAAAAGTCTGATGTTCTGATAATTCATATAATATTAGTTTGACATGCATTATTCCATTCTGATCAAAACTACTAAATTGTTGGCCGAAAATACAAAAATTTTGTACATTTATTAAAATTTTAGAAAATTTCAACAAAATCTAATTTCCACAAGAAGGAATTAGAAATTCAATTATTCATACAATTAAAATAAACCTTTCATGTGAATTATGCGCTGCTAGAATTACATATCTTTAACTGAGGCAGCTTTTCCAAGCAAAAATAATATTACAATAATGTTTACTATCTTTAAAGTTCTGTGACCAAGCAATTATAATAGGTTTAATAACATTTCATTGTAGTTTATAATAACAATTCATTATAGTTTATATTTCATTGTATAATTGGCTCTTTTATTGATAAATTTGGTAAACTGGCAAAGCACAAATGAATCATCTTTCAAAATTTTGAAAACGTTACACGTTTCAGGATACTGGTTTTATTTCATCTCTTTCTACCTATTTAATCATAAAGTAGATATATTCAAGAGCTATATTAAAATAACAAATGAAATCTATCAATACATGCTAAAACTAAACTAGATTATTTAATAAGGAATTGAATGTTTACTTACCTGATGATGACATACCTGATAAATCTAAAGCTAAAGTTTGAGCCCGCTGTCATGTTTCCGGCGGCATAGGCAAATGATGGCAACTTGCAGCGCTTTCAATATTAATGAGCACAATGGGATGTGAATGCTTCACTGTTATGTATTCCAGACCTGTAAGCAAACAGCACAACACATCATCAACAGCGCATTCATAGAAACATGTTATATATATATATATATAGTNTATATATATATATATATATTCACGTTGTCTGAAACGGAATCTTTTTTAATATGCGGAACAACATAGCTGTTATAAGAACTGACGAAAAAAATTGAGCTTAAATAAATTGAAAAATTGTAAGCAAAACCTAACTATCATTAAATCACCTTGAATTTAAAATATTTGTTATGAAAATTGAATAAATGTAATGCAAGAATGAGCTTACAATTGTTTTGCTTTTAAGCAAAATTGAGAGATCAAAAAATGCATGATAAAATTATAAATTTTAATTTTCTTTCTGTTCTTGTAATAAACAATAAAATAAAATAATAATATTAATAGAAGTATCCTCTATGAAATCTTCTATAAATGTCCTCGAACATAAATCCTCTAATAGAACAATTCTCTAGTATCCTAAGAAATATCCTGATATATCATTTCTTAAATATTCTGTTCTGTACTATAGGCAAAAACGAAACATTCTATATCGACTAAAATGTTAGAAGTTATATTTTTTTTGCATGTAGGTAATTTTAAATGGATCTTAAAAAAACTTTTAGCTTGGTTTACAAAGTCAGAAAATGAAAAAGTTGGGAACTGCTACCAAAGACGATCTGCTGATCCACTCAGTAGATTGATGTAGCTAAGCGTTCACTATTACTGTTTTACAATTTTCACCCACAAGACCTCCTAAAACTAAAAATCATAGAGTCAATTTTTATTGAATTTAATCTTTGATATACGAAGAAAATATTTGTGAACGTTCTATTTTATTTTAGACAGAAAAAATCCTACCCCCTTAAAATTCTTCCTATCTTTTGAATTTTGTGTTTAGGTCCAACTAATTTTTTTCTTCTCCATCTAGGCAAAAGTCGCATCACGAAGCAAACTTTTATAGAAACTAATGGTGAAATTTAACTTGATCTATTGAAAGCCGAGTCTTAGTTTAATAAGTCCTGTTTTAATATTTCAGACAAATTAAATTCAATCTCTAAGAATTTATTACATTTTATCATTTAAGGGATGCATGAACTGGGTGTTTTTCAACGACCACCTGTAAGACATATTTTTAAGATCCTTGTGAAAAATAAAGTTTGGAAAAATTGACACTGGATTGCGCAAAATAGTACTGAGACGAGAAAAAAACTAAAACGCTATCGAAATATGTTGAAGTACTAGTCAGCAGGGTGGAACTGCAACTTTAAAACAGCTTGATTGCCCGAGATAAGAGAGAGAGGAATCGAACAGATTATTCTGAAGAACAGAGTTTTTTACCTCGTTGCATGAGATTTTGCATGAGATCTGGAATATAATCAAATCTCTGTTTTTAAATCTGAAACCGGTTTGTCTCTCCAAGAGATAATTTTCTCTAAATGACATTTTTAGTACATTTCTTTTGAAATATACAAGTTTAAAATTATTATCTTTTATAATAAGGAGTCGCGTAAATGTAGCAATAAATTTCTAGAGGAGTTAGGGCACATCACCAGGAGTAAAATTGCTAGAAACCCATGCTGGAAAATGACATCGTATGTGACTAGGGGCGCTTATCTATTCAGACCTGTTCAGATGCACACGAAAAAACATGTCATCATAGAGTGTCCTACGATGACGTTTTCTGGCATGGGTTCCTATGCAATTTAAATTCTGATGATGTGCCTAAGTCTTCCCCTCGAAGTTTGTTGTAACAATAATGCGGCCCCCTGTTATATATAACGTATTTAATCTTGTACATTTCGATAAAATAACAGACTAAAAATTCATAACTATCGAAGCAAAACACATTTTAATTTTGAAATTCAAACACCCGAATAAGGCAAGATCGAGTATTTGCAAATGGAACGAAAAATTCGTTCCCCAGTTTTATCAAAAGCACCACCCAGTTTCAGAATGCAATCATAGAGGTTTTAATTTTTTCTTTAACGCCTACTTCACCTGTGATTTGATCAACTTCAATAGCCTTTTTTGTTTGCTTCTAGCTTAGATATTAATTTTTGGCTTCCAAAATGTGCATATTTGTTTTTTTACTGAGAAGAATTATTTAAATGTGCATGAAAGGTGATAAGACTTTTTTTCGAAGGCCCCGTTGTAATATGCTTTTTTGGAAATAATATGCTCTTTTTATAACTGCTGTGAGTTTGCAAGTGTTAGGTCAAGTTTAACCTATCTAAAATCAGCGTTAACGCTTATTTTGAGAACGGCGCAAAACTACAAAAGGGAGAAAAGCCACAGTTTTGTGAAAATGAAAAGCTTTTGTGGTCTAATTGTTTAATATTTAACACTTACTCCACTGCCCTATTACCTGGGCTCATAAAAATTTGCACAACCTGAGAATAAGACAGTGATTTTGATCATTTTCATCTGGGTGAAAAAATTTCATCAAATTGGCGACTTTTTGAAAAAAGTTTCTCAACTTTTAAAGTATTTAAGTTATCTGCGTGTTCTAAAGCCCAGATTATTCTTCATGGCAAGATTATGTATATAGTTAAAAATCGTCACATTGTTTCAAGTGTAAGGCTCTTAAATTATGGTTTCTTTCAACGCAGCGTCGAAAAACAGTGTTAAACACAAAGCTTTATCTCAACAAAGGGGAAACTATAGAAACAAACCTCGAGATTCTGGCACGATAATGACTTTCCCTTCACCCCTAAGATTTGCGCTCCTGGAAAGTGAAAGAGTACTCCTGAGCGAATGCAAAGAATGCAAAGAGCGCAAAGAATGCAACGAGTGCAGGGAATGGAGCGATGTTTTCTCGTGATACACTGAGCTCCTTGTATCAGAGGACTCCGAAGATGTGGTCGATGAATAGCGTGGGCTTTCAGGGCTTGTTGAGCGAGGAGATGACGACAAATCGGATGGCTCCTGGAATTGAAATTCAACAGCCTATGGAATAAAATTCAACGCATTCCAGAAAACATAACAATTTTTGTCACATCAATGAATAATACTGATTATTAAAATAAAAATTAATTATTAAAATAAAAATTTATTACTAAAATAAAAATTAGTTATTAAAATAAAAATTAATTATTAAAATAAAAATTTATTAATAATAAAGGAAGGAAAAAGAGAGGAAAGCTTAACACAGTTTAATTAAACAACAGAATGCAAAAAAAAAAATCGGTCAACCCTGAATATTTTTTGATTGAATCTTCAGGTTATAGGATTCATTCATAATAATTCAAAGGGTTGACCTTAAATATACTAACTAACTAGTGCATGCTATATTTTAAGTTAAGAAATCAGAAACAAAAATTCACTTTCTCTGAAAAGACGTACCTTTTTTTTTCGACGGATTCGGATGTCTGACCCCTAAAATATAAACGCAAACTATATAATCATATCTATATAATTTATATTATCATATATATATATATCAATATAAGTTCAAATATAGACGCAATATGGGAAATATGATCCCAATAGTTTTGTCAGGAGAGCGATCTAACTCTTGGACCTCTTAATGTCAATTTTAATTTTTGCGTATTTCGCTATATGTTGAGAACTTCGTAATCAAATTTAAAAATGTTTTCATGTAAACTTTTAAATCATATTTCATAAATGAATTTGTGAATCCGAAATTGGTGAAAGATGCAGTTTACAATTTACATCAAACACCATCGTACCAATCCGAAAATGTTAATATTGATCTCGATTGGCTGTTCAATGTCTATTCAGCCATCCAAAGAATTTACACAGAATGTGTCTGAGCTGCATTTAAATATGTCTGCGAAATTGTTTACCGAACAGTTCAGGATTAACAGTTAAATATGTCCAAGATGAAAGCACAAAAAAGTTTCTTTTCCACAAAAAAAGTGCCTTTTCCGCTATTTGAAAACAACGTTTTTATTTTTTTTCGTTTTCTTAAAGAGGTCGCAAACATTTTTGAATAGAATTAAAATAGGTGCTTCTTTTTTTTTTCTTTCCATTGCTCGAACTCTACAAGTCTTAACGAAAACTTCATTCAATTGTTTGGTTCAAAAATCTGCGAAATCATTTTTTAGGTATATGGAAATCCAAAAGGTAATATAACGACTAATCCAAATTCATAAAGAAGTATAAAGTTACAATATGCTATAAATCAACAAAAAAAAATTTAGACATTATATGTTACCCGCAATAGAATTTTTTAATTTTCTAAGTACATTCACAGTAAAACACCGTAAAAAATCGCGCATAATTTTACTGTAAAAAGGTACATAGCAGGTTTGTTTTAGCGTAATATTGCTGTAAAATCACTGAATTACAGTAATATTACTGTTAAAAATGCAAATTCTCTGAATTACAATAATATTACTGTTTAAAATGTAAAGATCACTGAAGTACAATAATGTTACTGTAAAATCACTGTACAGTAATAATTTCTGTAAAATCATAGAATTACTGCAACAAAATAAATATAACTAAAAATTACGGTAGAAATAGATTTTACGAATACTGCTCTCATGCTGCCAGTATTTTGTACCGTAATTTTATCTGGTATTTTTTACAGTGTAAGTGTGACCTAGTAGTCATACGACTCACATCGAGCCAGTAATCCATTTCCACCCCAATTCGTGTTAAGGTATCTGGATCAAGTCCATCGATAGTGGCTGTAATGTGCTTTTTTAACGCAGCGAGATCAACAAGAAAGGGGGGCATGGATACTTTGTTCTTTACTTTATAAAAAAAAATCACAAGGTGTTAGGTCAGGACTCATGGGTGACCACTGCATAAGTGGCATGTTGGAATCCACGGATTGTCTAATTCATCAGTGAGGGAGTTATTCATCGAGGTTATCTCTCGCGTAAGTGGTACACCATCCAATTGGAGAATGAAGTTATAATATCGTGCTGCAACTGGGGCATCAACCAAATATTTGCATATTAAAAGTGGCTTCGGACCGGGATAGCCTGGTCGGAAGGGTGCTGGGCCCATGTCCGGAGTTCGTGGGTTCGAACACCACCGGCCGAAGACTCCCCGTGTAGTAAAGTGACTGATGCACGTTAAATCTGTCGAGTCGCAAAAGTCCTCCATGTTCCCATAACAAATCAATACCTCTGAGGGTACTGGATTGGAGATCGATCGTTCTCTGATTCAGGTCAAAATTACGATCTGTGGATGAATGAATGGATGTATGAATGGGTCTGCCCTATAAACGAGTGTGACGTATGGTGTGGCAGATGTCGAATTATTGCCCATAGATGGCGCCACTGGAAAACAAGAGCAATGGCAACCACTCTGCCTAAAACAGGCATACGTCAACAAAAGTGGCTTCCATGACACTTTGCTCCAGATAATTTAACACGTGTTTTGACGAAAATGGATTACTGGTTCAATGTGTGTAGCGCAACTAAGGGGTCATACATCGATCATCTGTGACTGTCACTTGTAAAACTTAAAATTATCCCATACAGTTTTGTTGCAGGTAACATATAATAGCATTGTTCTTGTTTTATAGTGCTTTGAAATTATATACTTCTTTATGAATCAACCTGTACTTTTGGTGTTTAAGTAACGCCAATTTTATTTAGCGCAAAAATTTTGTTTTTATGTCATTTGGGGGGAAAAAATCAATTCTCTGAAATGATATCTTCTCTTGTCACTAGAAATTCGAACTATTAAATTTCATACTTCAAAGTCCTTGTGGAAGAAGATATTATTTTAGAATACTATGAAAACTCATTTTTTGCACATGCAGACTACGCCAAATTCAAAAATGTGCAAAATAAGTCCTGATTTCCATCTAAAATGTTCAATGATACAATGAACAATGTAGATGATTTTTTAAACTTTTATTTGATCCCCAAAATAAGAACTACTTTAATTATGTACTTAATATTTCTTTTTTTTTTAAAAAAAAATAGAAAATGTAATTTATCACCAGAGCTGAAGTCTTTATATTTAGATTTTAAGAAAAGGAAATGCTATGTTACATTTTATTATAAGTGCAGTTTTTACCTAAAATGTACTAAGGATATCTAATAGATAGAAAGCGGAAAAAACGCTTAGGAAAATAATTGCTCTATTTAAGTTTCCCGACCCGATTTTCTCGAAAAACTGATAAAATATTACAGTGTTTTATCTTGAACTGGCAAAGTAAGTAATTTGTTTTTTTTTTTGGCGTGACTTTTTTTACCCCAAAATCTATTTTAATTGAAACGTCTTACAGAACAAAAATATCTGATATAATATAACTGATGTAATCTGATACAATATATATAAAAATTAATAATTTAACAGTTTACGTAATTTTTACAGTTGTATTTAACGTAAAATCATTGAATTACTCTAATTAAATTAATATTACTGTAAAAATCACGGTATAATATTTTACGGTAAAAATAGATTTTACTGTACTTTACACCATAATTTGTTCAGGAATTTTTTATAGTGCATATTTGAGCAATTTTTAAAAATTTTGTTTCTGATCATTTTTTGATCTGATTTTCTGTTTCTGATCTGAGTTTGTTCTCTCTTCATTGAAAAAGAAACTTAAGTCTAAACCTTTTTAAATATAAATTAAATTTATATTAATTCTAATACAAATATTAATTAGCGAGCAGGCGTCAGTCAGCATACCGGCGTTTGAAAAATAAAATTCTAGGCTATTATAAATTTCACATTTTATCCAAATTTATGCGTAGCTTCATTCTTTAATCTCAGACGCTTCTAACTACTATCAGCAAAATTTAATAAATAATTGACTGAATCTAATTGATCAAAAATGAATGAGCAAGCACTGTAAAAAATTCCGGATCAAATTACTATATAAAGTACCGGCAATTTGGGTACATCATCTAAAAAATCCACTTTACCATAAAATCCATTTCTACCATAAACTTTATTATTACAGTAAAATATAAAACCATAAATTTCAGTGATATTTATTTAATTAGAATAATTCAGTGATTGTACGGTAATTATTACAGTAAAAATTACTGTACATCCGATTTGTTTTGTTCCTTTACATATTTTATTTTACTTAAAATGGATTTAAGTAAAATAAAGTGCTCTGAGTTATTTAAAGTAAAGTACCCTGAGTGCTTTTTACCGTAATTTGATCAAATGTTTTTACAGTACATAGAAAAAAGATTTTTATCATTAAATATTGTCGAACATGTGTGATACAACTTATTACTTTTTGAACTCGTTTTGTGTTAGATATGTTTTTTAATACCATTTTGTAAAATCATTAATGTTATAATTTATTATGAAAGTAAAACAAGTTATGAAGAAAATAGAGAGAGAGAGAGAAATCAGAAAACTTACCTTTGTTTTTACCTTCGTCTCACCAAGGCACTTCGGGGTTTCTTCAGGTTTCTTAGCGGGTTCCGCTGTTGCAGTTGCTTGAAGATTATTGACAGAGCCAACAATTTCTTTTACTGCTCCTTCTTCTAAAAAATGAATTTTGTAACCAGATTTAAATTATATTTTATCAGAAAACACTAATTTGTACTTTGTTAAAATTATTAATTTGATATTTATTTTTATAAACAAAAATATCTTAACAATTCGTATGCATTTCTGCACGCAGTAATGAAAAAAAAACTAGTTTTTTTCCATCATTTTTTTTAAAGAAAAATTAGACATTATTGTTAATCAAATAATCATTTTAGTTTTGAACCGTTTTATTTTATTTGTTATTTATTTAGTTTTTAAAGAAGAGCACTACTTTGATTTTTTCGATAAAAGATATTATCTATGAGGATTAAGAGATAATATTCCTTCTCTTAACTCATTTTCACATAATACTCGTTTGATGAATTTAATAACTTAAATGATGAATATAATTTATTTTATGTGAAAAGAATTGTTTTATTCATGAGGAAGAAGAACAAAATTTGGCATATTAAGCAAAGGATTCTTTAAAGCCGTAAAGTAAATCAAAAGTATAAAGTCAATTACACAATTCTTTACACAATACAAACGACATTTGATTTACAGAATACTCCGTGATAAATACTCTTATTGTATATTTTTAGAATCTTTATCTAAAATGAAGGAAGAAAGAACATAAATTTTAGGACTTTCAGTTCAATGTTTCAACGAGAGAAAAACAAAAGCAACTCTAAAATTTAACACATTACTAAAAAAGTCAAGATTTAAATTATTAAAACATGTTTGATTTCTGGGGAAGAAGATGAAAGTTAAAAGGAGATTGTTAGAAACGACTGCAAGTTTCACTAGGTCGTTAAACTGGTTTTGATGTTTTGATTTCGTTTCACTCACTAGTAATTCGAGAGATTTTGTGACAGCACTTTTGTTTCTTCGTCGCAACTTCTATTTTAGAGTCGCGATGGCTCAAGGTATGGAGCGTTTTCCTCTCAATAAGTAGACACAGATTCGAACCCCAGAGGCGACTGGTTGATGCGAATAGTTCTTTTGGTTCACATCAACTACAGTAATAACGTAAAATGCCCTCAGTGTTAGACTGATAATGGGTTAGAATCCTTCGGACTAACCGTCCTTGCCTTCGGACTAACCGTAAAAGACTTACGAGGTTTTTTTCTCCATGTAACGCCAATTCAAGATTAGTTCCATCAAAAAGTTCACCATGAACATTAGTTTGTCGCGATGCTTTATCTAGGAGTTCTCTTGTCTTTTGGGGTGAGTTCAGAAATACAAGGCAACGGAGCTGAACATTGATTGTCGTAAATTTTGAATTGAGTAGGCTATTTAACGGCGTTTATAAAATATAATATAATTTTTTTAAAAGTATTAGTATCAGAACTTAGTTTTGGAAATATTGCGACAACCATTAATATCGAACTTATTTGAATGCTATATTTTTTCGACAATAGTTATAAGGTAACACAGAATTAAAATAATTTAGTTAAATAAAATTACTTGAGCCGCGATGGCTCAGGGGATAGAGCGTTCACCTTCCAATGAGGTGAGCCGGGTTCAAACCCTACTGATGGCAGGTCGATACGAATCCGTATCTGGCTTGCACCAACCACAGTGCTAACGTGAAATATCCTCAGTGGTAGACGGATTATGGGTTAGAGTCCCTTTGCCGTCAGGCTAACCGTGGTAGGTTCTCGTGGTCTTCCTCTCCATGTAACGCAAATGAGAGTTAGTTCCATCAAAAAGTCCTCCACGAAGACAAATTTCTCCCAATACTTGATCCAGGAGTTCCCTTGTCTTCTGGATTGGGTTCAAAATGACAAGGTTACTCAGTTGAACATTGGTAGTCGTAAACCTAAAAATTGGGTTGGTTGTTCATTGACGGGCATAAAATTAAAGTACTTGATCAGAAGCACGCGTCGAAACAATACATAATAGGGAAGCGCCTCTAGAGGCGTACGATGACATTTCGTGGCACGGGTTCCACTGCAATTTTAATCCTGATGATGTAACACTCCCCTAGAATTTTGTGGAAATATTTACGCAACCCCCTGTAATATATTATGTTTTTAAACTTGCACATATCGTCAACATTAAATAGACTAGAAGAAAAGTGTTTATTGAGAGAAAAACCTATTGCAGATTTAAAAGTGATGGGAAAATATCTAAGATCTATTAAAAGAAACCTCATGTAACAGAAAACAAAAACTAATTGCTCCACTATTATTTGTCATTCTTTATGATTTTATTTCCTAATAGTCGAAAAAATATTAATTGCAAGGTATAAAAATGTTTAACATCATTTCATTTTAAGTAGCAAAAAACAAAATTTGAAAATAAATTGGACGAATAATTCTTAAGAAATCAAATTCCAGATAAGGATTTCTTAAAATTTGATAGTCTTGAAACTATTTGACTGATTTTATTCAAATTTTGTAATTCGCCGAAAAAATTGCATTCTTTAAAATGATATAAAGATTTGTATACCTTACAATTCAAAATTTTCGACAATTATTAAATAAAATAATAAATAAATTATTGCAAGAATATTGTATAATAATATACAATAAATTATTAATGTATATTATTATACAACATACATTAATAAAATATACAATAATAAAATAATAACACAAAATTATTGTTAACAATTATTTTTTGCAAGAATTATCTTTGGATAAACGAGTTTTATAATTGTGGCAAAAATTTGTTGATTCTCTTAATATTGTCTGAAGATATAGCAAAGTGCTCAAAAAATGAAATTAACATTAATAGTTTCAAACTAATTTCAACCGATTTTCTTCCTTAATTTTTGGAACTGTATTCTTTAGATTGCAGCTATCCCTTCCCTGCATTTCAAAAATCAGAATTCCAAATACGCCGATAAAAAGGTATGATTATTCAGAGAAAATACGTTTTTGTGTCTTCGTTACTTAATATACCGTCTGCAATATTGCATCAGTATATTTGAGGTCAGCCCAATAACCATTAAGATTGAGTCTGAGAACGTAAANCTAGCGAAAAGAGACAAATGATGTGTATACCAAATGATTATAGCTTGGTTCACACAAAAACGTTTCTTTTTCAAACAATCACAAATCAATCCGACAGATTATACGAGATTCTTTGTACAAAGGGATATCCATTAAGAATGACGGATGAATTTGTATAACAGATGACTACCAATTTAGAAGGAAAAAAGATACTCGTCCACGCCATTTTATTTCTGGTCAATCTAAAGAATATATCATTTTTACAGCAAGAACTATAATCAATTCCAGTGAACAAAAGAATCTGTATCTCGGCATTTTATCGATATTTCGAAACTTCTCGTGTTGGATATTTCATGTATCACTTTCTTTTGTCAGGGTAACTGATATATTTTACGAAACCTATTGTTATGTTTGTTATAGACTTTTTAGGAAATTGGTAACTAAAAATAAATCTTTTAACAATTAAAAAATAGAGTTATTTGAGAGTATTTCAGTTTAATAAGGAATAAAATTATTTGAATTAAATTATCTGTATCTCGTAATTTTATTATTTATTTCAGAGCTACTCAAATTGGACACTTTACATATTGTATTCATTTGTAAACTTAACAAATGTGTTTCATAAAATAATTAGTGTATTTTGGTATACAGATAGGTCTACATGTTTAATATATCTTTCACTTTTGTAAGAGTAACTGATATATTTTACTAAACCATTTGTTATTCTTATTATGATCCTCTTAAGAAATAAGTATTAAAAAATAAATCCATTTATAATGAAAACAAAATGAGTTGCTTGAAATTATTGCAGTTTAAACTCTGGAACTATAGCCAATTTTGAAGAATAAAATTATCTGCATCTCGACATGTTATTATTATTTCAAAACTACTCGAGTTGGATATTTAATTTACTGTATTAATTTGTAGAATTAAATGTGTTCCATAAAACAATAAGTTCATTTTTTATGGGGATCGTGTTAAAAAACTTATATATCACTTTCTATTGTCAATGTAACTGATCTAGCGAAAACTTTTGTGATGTTTATTACGGACTTTTTAGAGAATAGGTATCTAAAATTAAATATATTAATAATTAAAGGAAATTATTCAGTTTAAACCCTAGATATGCAACCAGTTACGATGAATAAAAGTATTTGTTTGGTACCTTGACATTTTATTGTTATTTCAAAACTTCTCGAGTAGGATATTGCAATCAGTTGTAAAATTAAAAAATTTATTCCGCAAAACATGGAGTTTATTTTGTTATGCAGATTCGGTCGTGTAGAATATTTAATTTATCACTTTCTTTCGTAAGGATAACTGCTATAAGTGACGAAAACTTTTGCTCCATTTATTTTGGACTAGTTATATGAAAATAAATCTTTTAATAAATAAAAAAATGGCTTTTCGAAAGTATTTCAGTTGAAGCTCTAGAACTAATCGAGTTGAATACTTAACATATTGCATTCATTTGCAAAGTCAACAAATGCCTTCATAAAATGGTAGTTTTATTTTGATCTGCAGATTGCGCAATTTTAAGCCAATAGCTATCTTTCGAAAAATACTTTAATAATTAAACAAATTTAGAGTCCTTGAAGAATCTCACAAGTTAAATGGTTGAGTATAACCTGTTTTGATGAACAAAAATATCTGTACCTCGACATTTTATCCGTAATTTAACACATAATGGAGCTTTTAGCTACTACTACTATAGGAAAAATAAATATTTTAGTAATTTCAATAAATGCTTTAAACGTCTATTTACCATAGCACTTTCTATCGAAACTCAATGATCTTGTTCTGTTATACTCATTACGAGCTGTTTCCTCCCAGCTAGGTGCTCTTTGCTCTGCTTGCTAAAAGAAAAATAATTTAATACATTAAGAAATGTAAGGAAGATTTAAGTAATTTATTTTAAAATAATTTTTAAACATGTGCTTACGAATTATAAGATTAAGGTAAATATATCGTCTACGATGTATGGTGCAGAAATACACAATGTAACAAAAATGTTGCTACAAACTTTTATAAAAATTAAGGCTGAGGACTGAGAATTTCATATCAACACCTAATCAAAATTTCATTGTATGCCTCTGCATCCCACGACCACAATGCAACTATACATTTGATGCATAGTCGTAAGTAGTCAAAGATGTCGTGTTTCACGAATATTGTTGATTTTTTATCACCGTCATTGATTCAATTTTTGAGTTTACGACTAGTTCACCCCAGTAGCCTTGTAATTTTGAACCCGATTCAGAAAACAAGGGAACTCCAGGATCAAGGTTTGGGAGAAATTTTGCCATAGTGGAGGACTTTTTGATGTAACTAACGAACCTCCCCCTACTAGCCTGAAAGTTAGAAGACTCTAAACCATGATCCGTCTACCACAAAGGATATTTTACGTCAGCACGGAAGTCGTTGCGAGCCGGGTGAGGAATTCGTATCGACTCACTATCACTGAGCTTCGAACCAAGTTCACCTCATTGGGAGGCGAGCGTTCTATGACTTTTATAATAAGACCAATCTGTGTTGCTATAATAATAATTAAAAACAGCGCAGCCTCCTACTGTGTTAGCAATCAATGCTCAACTTTTGTCCGACATGCATAGTGCCTTATAGTACCATCTTTAAAACATATTTTGTAACATTATAACATTATAAACTGCATTCATCTTGTACGTCGTTTGTATTCATGTAGTACAATCCACATAAAAAGACTTTAAAATACTTAAAAAGTCGGGTGAACCTTATAACTTTTGATTAGCATATTCCGCCACTATTATATTGAACTGTTATACATATTGAATAGCTTTGAGATTATACCAAAGCACTATATAGAAGGAAAAACCAACCATACATTTCAAAGTTATTTAAAAAAAGAACAGATCATTTTTATATGTTTGCTGACGGTACAGTGCTTAAAATAAAAAGTGGACCACTCTGAAGAACTTTTGATCTAATAATCGGATCTTCACGTTCTAGGATTCCATCTTAATGGTTCGATTCATCTCATTGGAAGGCGAAAGCTCTATTCCCTGAACCAATATCTGAGATCACCTCCTCGAGCCATTAAGATCCGATCATTAGATCAAGGTGGTCCGTTTTTTTATTTTGCTCACTGTATAAAAAAGTTTTCGATTAGTTGTGCCTTTCAGATCTTCTACCTCTGTGCTTCCCGTCATAATTTGACATGGAATTCTCAACCCTCAGTTTATCAAAAAGTTGTTGATTAACCTTACATAAATGTTTTTTTTAATAAAAATCTAATGCAATATTTTTAGTGCAGACTTCTGTTCATAATAATTAAAGCCTTAACAACCTTTACCTGAATATCTCTGAGTTGCACTTGCTCTTGGGTAGTTTCATTCTGAATTCCAACCTGTAAAGGAGCTGTTTGTTTTGGCTCTGGTTGTATTAAAAGGCGATTTTGAGCAACTTCTGAGAAGGCTTCTTCCTGAGCTGCCTGTAGTTGAGCAATTGGGATGATCACTGAAATCATACAAATGAAAGATTATGTTTAAATAAGAAGAATATTTTTTACGTCTATATAGCAGCTTTGTAATCAAACTTCAAGAAAATGAAGAGGCAAGGTAAAACTTGTTTAAAAATATTTCACATTCAAACTGTAACTGTCATCATAATGCCTTTTAATAGTATCGTTGAAATACACTGAAAAAAATTCTGTATCAAATTACGGTATAAAGTACCATTTTACCGTAAAATTAATCTTATTGTAATTAAAATATCGTATTATACTGTAATGTATGTATACCGTAATTTTTACAGTAATATTTTTTTAATTAGAATAATTTAGCTATATTACAGTAAAAGTTACAGTATATCAGACTTTTTGTTTCGTCACGTATTCCGGAAAAAATGGATTTTTCTGCAAAAATTAATCCAGAGCTCCGATACTTTTTTACCGTAAATTGAACCGGAATTTTTTTGAAGAAGTAGTAGAGGATGATTTCATAAGGTTACATAGCATACTTTGAATGGTAAATATGTGGTAGGAAACCGCAAGACCATAATTTAACTGTTTGTTTTAGAAGTAGATTCAATATCCTTCATTTTTTAAAGTTAACGACTATAACGATCGTGATATGAAAAGGGATCTTCATTGCTATAAGCAGCTCTAATCAAAACAGTCTTCTTATTTTCTTTCAATCTTTTTCGGTTGGTAGAAAGATGCTTTTGAAACATAGTGTAAAACTTCTTGAAATCTTCTCTATTGATTTTTAAACCACTTGTGATTTTTGATTTTTAAACCACCACATAAACGTGGGTTTATAATAAGATATTAAAAACTCATAATTGGTGATTTCAATACAAGAATTTGTAACTTTTATTTTACAAAGCGAATGAGTGCTGTGAATTTTTTCGAAGTTTTCAAATGAAATTTTTCTTACCTTCAGATGTGATAAGAGAACACTTCTTCCATACGAAGCAAACGCACATTATACAAGATACTACAAAAGATACTCCTCCTAAAATGGAAGTTATAAGCCACATTTTTGTTCCTCTTTTTCGTTCAATTTCCTTCTCGGCGAAAGTCTTTGGCTTTTTTGTTGTAACTTCCACTGAAAAATAAATAATCAAATTTAACGATTTACCTTACTCAATAATACTATAAGCGATGTTCTAAAAAATATGGAATCATATTATAGCGTAAGCAATAAAGTTGCAGACTAAATATAAATGATTAACCGGATCAAAAGAGACCATTTCAATTGTGCGTAGGGGAGAAGCGACTAGAACAAATCAAATAAATTACACAACACTGAGTAGTGCTGCTGATTCGCTACAGTAAGACCAATAGTAACCGACCTACCCCCGAAGGAGTTTGCGGATAAGGGTTTCACCCGTTTGCACGTGACTAAACACTACCAAACTACAGAAAAGTAAAGTACTAAATTGAAAAGATTAAAACACATAGGAGAAATCCCTAAATCGAAAAAGTAAAATAAGAATAAAACAGAATAAAGATTAAAAGTGCTTAAAACATCAAAGTGGATAAAATCAACCGACAATAAAAGTGTCAAAAATACAGGNATTTCAGAGCATGGCAAAAATACCATTTAATCGGTTAAATATGCTTTTCTGTTTTGTAGTTTTCATTAAATGTGTGGCCATAAGAACTATTCTTTTGAAAATGAGAATTTCCGGTGAACTGCTACCATATGAATGGAAAAATTACCCAATGAATGGTTTAAATACCTTATATTTTGGATTTATTAACCAGAATTATGTTTTATTATCAGAAATATCATTACCATACAGTACGGTAATTTTACCAAAAAATTTTTTTTCATGTGATATAACAGAAAAGTTATTAAAAATTTATTTAATTTTTGTTTATTACGAATCAGATATCTTATTTATTTCTTACAATTTTTTTCTACAATTTCTTCTTCGATTTCTCCAAATTTCTCTAACAATTTTCGAAATATTATTTCTTTCAATCTGTTAGTAATGGTCTTTGCATTGGGCAAGAGCTATTATATTATGACCGCCCTGCTAATAGCATGTAGGACCACCTTTAGCCCTCAAATCTGCTAGCACCCGCCGTGACATTGATTCCACAAGGTGCTGATAGGTAGTCTAAGGTATCTGATACCAAGCGCTCACCAACTGGTCCCGCAATTCCCTCACACTGCGAGAGTGTAGCGTGGCAGCACGAATTTGGTTTTCTAAGTCGGACCACAAATTCTCTATTGGATTAAGGTCAGGTGAATTTTGGGGCCAAGACATGACTTGAAAGTCAGTGGAATGTTCCTCGAACCAATCCATGACGATTCGACCCTTATGACATGGTGCATTATCCTGTTGGTAAACACCATCCCCCGCAGGAAAAACTGCTGCCATGAACCTGGTCTGCAACTATGTTCAAGCAGCTTACAGACGTCAGGGATTGTTCCATGAGGATTATGGATCCTAATGTGCTCCATGAAAGCATTGTTCCTGGACGAGAAACCATGAAAACCTGAGAGTTGTCATAATGTAATGGCTCTTCGGTGTAAATAGAATATGAGAGCTTTCAGACAGGTTCTTACATGAAAATATGCATGTCGATTAACGTTTTGAATTAGTTAAACTTTTATGTAATAAAAGTAAAAATTCCGAAATTGTTTATATCTTACCCTTCACTTCGCGTGTAGAAACTGTCAAAACATTTTCTGCATAGGCACTTTCACCAATGTTGTTGTAAGCAGCAATGAAAAAGTCGTACTGTGCACCTGGTTCGAGACCAGTAATTGTGACGGAAGTAGTATTTGTTGGCGCTTCTTTGTAATTATACGTTGAGGCGTCGGATTTTTTGAACCGAATTCGAAAGTTTTGATCAGATCCACCATCAAAACCAGGAGACCAAACTAAAGTGATTGAATCGGTGGATTCGTTCATAGCTTTCAATTCCTTTGGTGGCTCAGGAGCTCCTGAAAAAACAAAAGTATCTATTCTTCCAGAAACAATTATTTTTTTGCTCAATGAAATTCAAATGCAATAAAAAATGCTTCTCTAAGTTCGTTCGCCGAAGTTTGAACAAGTCAGTGTAAAAACCTCAGACTTGGAGCAATAAAGCTTTAATTTTAAACTATATATAATGTTTTGCTTAAAAGAATGAACTGTGATTTGAAATAGATACATATTTAAAATATTAATCACCAACGCATTTTATTTTCACGAACTTTACATTTTGAGTTACTTTAATAATAAGCATAAAAAGCACTTGGCAATCAGACAGTAGATCTTTGACCGAAGAAAGTAAACAAATCGAAGTTTAAAGGACTTATACTTGAAGCAATATAGCGTTAATTTCGAACTATCTACACTAATATGTTAAAAAAAGGAACTGAGATTTGTAATAGATAAATATTTCAACTGATTCTTAAAAGTTTTAACTTTTTTAAATTTGCCTATTTGCCAGGTTTTTCAGTTTAGATAAAAAAAAATCGTAAAAACTGAATAATTCTCTCACTTTTTTATGAGATTTGATAATTTTAAAGTATGAAAAAAAGAGCTTAAATTGTGAAAACTAGTTTTTTTGTGCAAAAAGAGATTATTTTTTTGAAGAAATGAAAATCATACTGTAGATTGTAGTTATAAAAATGAGCTCTTTAAAAAATTTCTCTAATATATTAAGCAATAATAATAAAAATAGAGAAATGTATTTTAAGAAAGGGAAGAAATGGTTTGCTATACAAGAACATTTACTTCTTGAACTTGAAGCATGATAATTTTAATGTATGTAAAAAGCGTTCAAATTGTGAAAATCATTTTTTATGCGACAAAAATTAAATTTTTCTAAATTGAAAATTTGCATATAAAGTTTTTTTTTTTTAATTCGCGCATTTTAGTTACAACTCATAAACTTCGTGCAAATTGTATGGTGCGGAAAACTGGAATCCATATCCCTTTCAAATGTGCGCACGGTTTTTGCGTTTCCATTTCCTGATAAGATGTTTAATAAAATGTCTGTAGATATAAACTCAAAATTTCGTAAGTCAATTATGTTTTCTTTGTATTTTAGTTTTTCCTATTTTTTTTCTCCTTTATTCTTCACAAATTTAAGAACCTATTCTAGTTAATCAGTCTGAAAAAAAACCTTTCTTTTTAAATAGTTTAAGAATTGTTTATAATATTGTCTATTTTCTTTTTTATTATACAAAATGACCGAATTTTCCCTACAAGAAATATATCCTAATGAAGGAGTCTATCAGAAAAGATTTTTTTCGTTTTTCAGAATCGTCTTGATTTTAGAATTGTTTTGAACTAAACTAAGAAAATTACGATATTTTTAATGTTAATAATTTTGAAATTTTAAGCAACTCTCATGTTTTCTAAATTTCAGGGAACTACTTTGCTTTTTCATAAATATCGAAATATAAGAAATCGCAATACTTTATTTAAAGAATAGTTTTCAATATTAAAAAAAAATCACAATTTTTTGAAAATATTGTTTTCTAAGACTTCAACCGCTCTGAATAATTCTATTTAGGAATAATAGTGTTTAAAGTTTCATTAATAGATTTAATTTTAATAAACGTTAATAATTCTGCTGTTCTTTTAAAATAAAGAATCTTTCTTAAAATATGTTAAACATGAGCCAAATCGAATTTAAATAATTGATTGTCTTTCACAACTATAAAAAAAGGACTCTTAAAAAATCATGCTACTTTTTTCTTAATTTGCTTAAGATTGTATTAACTACTAATAATCATTATAAAATAAGGTGAATTCTACAAAACTATGAGCAACTTTTTAATGATATTAACTTGCATGTTTATCATTTATCATAAAAAGTTTAGATATTAAAAACAATCATTGAAACAGTGATAGATCTATTGCGAAAGCTAACAGGCAAAAGCTGCATTTTTAAGGGAAATGGCAGAATTTTAATTGATTAATTCTACTTCTCATTGGCACGACAGCCCAGGATGGGCCTTGGCCTTCTCAACAAGCCTATGCCCAGATATTTCTTCCCTTACCCAAGGTTCTCCAGTTTATTATCCTTAAAACTTGTAGGTCCTTTTCAAGACAGTTCAAAAAATCTTAGGTTTGGTCGTCCTCTTTTTCTTGTAGCTGTTGGCCTGGCATTGAAAACTTTTTTTTGGTTTTCCTGCTATTCTCCATTCTTATAATGTGGCCTGCCCATTCAATTCTTTGAATTTTGATACATTTAATCACATCAGGTTCTTTATATGCTTTGTAAAGTTCCGTGTTTGATATTCTAAACCAGGTACCGTTTTAATTTATTCCACCAAAAATGCTTCGCAGTATTTTTCTCTCAAATCTAGCTATCATATTTTCATCTCCACGGGTCATTGTCCAGGTCTCACATGAGTTAATTAATTACGAAATATAAAAATCTAGAAATATGAAATATATTAAAGCAATATGTAGGTATGAGCAATATGTATTGCTTATTATGCAATTTACGCACTGTATATTAATTTTCGAAGGTTAGAATAGAATCCGAAAAATTTGCTTCGATGTGAAAATTCTGTATATGGTATTTTAAAATTATTTTTGATGTATCTAGTTCTGTAGAATTCACCTTCCATAATTTATCAAGAAATGAGATGAATAGAAATACATGCTCAATTATATTAGAAGTATTATTAATGTAGTATTAATCTTTGAAACGTTAAGAATGTAATATCATTTTTATTTGATCAAATTACTTTTTTAAGTTAGTTCCGCTATATTTTTGTTATGCTTGACTTACACCTGCTTTTCATATCTCTAAATAGGTTAAGAAGATCTTGGAAATATAAAAATAGTGAAATCAACAGCCTCTTAATAGACATTTACGAGAGTTTTTGAAGTTAACATTTCACAAAGAAATAAAAAAAAACATTTAGATAAGAAAGACTCTGTTATATGTTTTATTATTTTGAATATAGTCATGACGTATCAATCATTGAGGAAGTTATAGTCTATAATATTACTGTAAAATAAAATAAAATATAATGCTTGTAAATATTTGTTATAATTTTTAGAATTAGGTTTGCAATGCAAGCATTGATCGCGCAGCGCAATCTACTTGGATTTTATGCTTTCAAACCCCACATTAAATTCAATTAATTTTAATTAGAGTTCTAGGCATAAAATCCTCAGCATGTTTCAGATATTTATTTCTATTCATCATTTCCGTAGAGTGAATAAGAACACAGCATTTTTTTTATTTTTTTAGATCTATAAAATAAAGCATTGAAACGAATACAATGATATAGCGCAAAGTGAAGCATGAATGGATGGTTTGGGCATTTTTAAACTTTACTACAATTGCGGCGTTCGAAAAGTGTTTCTATTCACCCTATAAAACACTTTGAAGAGTATAAGAAAAGACAATAGAATGAAAGTGTTACGAAACCTGGGATGAACCTTCTTCTTTTACCTTTTTTGCTAAGAGAAAATTTCACGAAATCATAACCTAGATGATTTTTCGCGACGCAGGTGTATTCTCCATAGTCGTCTGGCCTTACACGCTTAATTGTAAGAACGCTACACCACTGCAGATCTCCAGCCTCGGCCGCACGTATGTTATAGCGTCCGATATCGAGACCCTGTATGATGACTGTGCTATTGAAAGACCAGACGAAAGTGACATTGCCGTCTCCAAGGGCAATGCACCGAAGCTCAACAGTTGATGAGAGTTCGGTGGCTACTTTAGGGTTAACGAGATTTCGAACAATTGTGGGTTTGTCTGCAAAAAGAAACACAAATAATTAGTTGAAGAAAGAAATATTCGAATTAAAAAAATATTAGCTTAGTCAAAAGTTTTCAATTCAGCAATCTTTTAAGCTAGTCACTAATTTGATTGTTAAAGTCACACTATGTCTACATGTATATGTCTGTTACATACTATTTCTATGTCTATGTCTAATTTGCTAATAATGGCTCTGCAAAAATTGATCAATAGAAATTAATGAAAAAAATGTATTGATCTGTACGGGGAAATGGAACACTGATATCAGTAGAGTAGATCAGTACAATGTACTGGTCATGATATATTGATATCAGTGTATTGATAGACTACCTATTGATAGAATATTGATTAATATATTGAATATTAATATATTGAATAAATATTGATAGATGTATTGATAGAATACCTAACTGATCAATATCTATTGATACAAGTATCTCACTGATGTCAGTAGACATCAGTTGAAGTGTGAAATACAGACAAGTATAAAACAATAGAGTACCTACTGATCAATATCTATTGATACCAATACACTGCTGATATCAGTTGAAGTATCAGTAGAAACAAGTACAGACCAATAAAATTCTATTGATCAATATCTATTGATACCAGTACACTACTGATATCAGTTTAAATATCAATAGGAACAAGTACAGACCAATAGAATACCCTACTGTTCAATATCTTTGATACCAATACACTACTAATATCAGTTGAAATGTCAATAGAAACAAGTATACACCAATAGAATTCCAATGATACCAATACATGCTTTTATTGATTTCTATTGATCATTTTTTGTAGGGGATTTATTCCTCTCGCCACGAAGTCTAAAGACGTTTGTTTTTATAGAAACAAGAAATAGCGCGTTTCAAAGAGAGCAGCTCCTCTCCCCCCTGATTCCCTTTCTCTGCTGAACCCAAGCAAAATCTGGTCTTAAATATTTGAACCTTGAAAAAGTTAAACTTCATAACCAGAGTCACCGCCACTGCTCCTGATGAATAACGAGGGAAGTTCTTTACGTAGACAAAATATGGATGATCTTGATTTCTTTGAGAGAACATCAACGTACAACTTTTTTCTCCTTTCGATTACTTATCTAAAATTCAACTTTTGATTTTATTATTTTAATAGGAGTTTAACATAAGCGAAGACAATACTAAAATGTTTAGATGTTCTTCTTTGTGAGATAATGTATCAAATTTTTATAATTTCATTTTCTTAAGAGCTGAAATTTAAAGGGAAAAAACGATACTATGACGTCTTGTACGCACGATAAAAATTATAAAAATCATGTTAATGACTTGAAACAACAATTAATAAGCAGTCAAATATGATCTTTTTAACATCAAAGATCAAGAAAATTAAAAAAAATAGTAAATATTTTTTTTTAAAGAAAAAGTTTGTATTTTCGTTTAAAAAATTATTTTGGTCTGAAAGAAAACAGTATTTAAGTGCTAATACGAATTTATGTAATTTGCTATACTCAAACCAATTACCAAGTTTTAACTAAATGTGTTTATTAGGGGATGAATAATCATACAATTTCAATTTACAAAACGGGTGCGTTATTTTCTCTATTCATTGGAGTTGACTTTCAGTATTTATGTGAGTTTAGTACTTATTTATGCTGTAACTTTAGAAGTTTTTTGAGTACTATCTTAATCTTGGTGTTAAATTGTACAGAATTAAATAGCTCAAAACAATTTTTTTAAGAAATCGACAAATTTCGTCAGGAAATCAACCGTTGACAATTGTCTGGAATACATTTAGCAATGAACTATACACAACATTGGCACGAGAGTTTACTATATTGCTACCCATTTGATTGGAGAAGCATATAAAGGTAATAGGTTTCGTCTCGTCACCGACTCTGAAAGATCAATGGATTTATCCGGCTGCTCATCCCCACTGAATACATTACATTAGCTTGATGGAAACAAGGTAAAGAAATGAGCGGTACAAGTGCAATCCAATTAGAAATCCCGTCTTTACAACGTGGTATTGTACCCTAACCTATACAAGTCGATTGCCTTTTGCACAATACTGATTTGACAGCACTACCGATTCTGGCAAAATTTTTCAATTTTCGAGATTGTAATCTACATTGTGAGTAATTTCTGGGGAAAAAAAGGTTAAATAACAATTTCTTTAATTGTCATTTTACCATATTCAAAGAAAACAATCACATAACCATAAATAAGATGGTATACAAACTGTTAATTGTGAGAAAAAACGTTTAATAACTTCTTTAACCCTAATACGGTTATACAACCAGAATTTAACAGCAACTAGGCTCGTCTAATGAAGCCATATAGTTTCTTGCAGCTGGGTACATATTTATAGCCGAGAGGGCTAATCTGTCATTCTCATGACCGACAAAACGAAGGTTTGAGTCCCAGCGTTGACACCATAATATTACTTCCGTTTCCTTCAAGATATGAAGAGTTTTCAGTGACCTGCGCTCCCTTAATTATGACCTTGGAAAATTAGAACAGGATGCTCGTATAGATAGCAGCACAAACGCTAACGAAACCAATGAAAAGTCTAGCTCCAATGTCCAGTTACATTTCATTTCTTTTTTGTGTTTTTGAAACCAAGCTAATTGTAACGTGTAGTTTAGTATTCATGATTTTTTTTCCTTTTCTAGTTGTAAGTGGTTTCCGAACCGTAAGGGTAAGAAATGTTCTTTGCAGTAAACTTTATTGCCAATTGGATGAACAGACTTTTCCCAGTTATTTCACCATAATTTTAGAATGAAAATTCTATCAGTGAACAATCTAAATAACTAATTGATTTAAGTAAGTCTTTTTTTATTTAATTTTAATTTGGAAGCTTGTTTGTTTAAAATACTAAGTAAATAAATTTTTAAGTTATTATTATTTTATCCTTTTTTTAAATTTTTTTTCTCGAGATGAAGCTACAATTTTTTGTTAAACTTACTTCCCAAGTAAAATTGCATTTGATAATTTAAATAAATATGTTCTTCAGAACGATAGAAATGTTGTAAAAACGGGATTTAATGCATAAATATGATTAAGAATTCAACATACTTCGCATTCATCTCTTTATTACAATTTCCCTTAAGATCTTTTATTTATTTATTTCTTTTTTTTGCAAACCTTATAATTTCACAACAGATATTTATTTCATAAGAGATAGTTTTGAATAAATACGCAGAAATTATTTTTTTGTCATAATTCATTTTAATGTATTCATGACTCATGATTGTTAGTTAGATGATCGAGTGTCAGTTTCATACCACAAATGGAAAAATGCTCTTTCTTTACTTTTATTTTTTCTTACTCTCTTTTTACTCCTTTTATTTTGATTTATGCTTCAGTTTTCTATTTTTTTCTTCAAGTAAATATGTGGGCATGATTTCTGTTTATCTCTAAGGAATTTCTTATTGATTTCTCGTCAGCCAAATATTAATTAACTTCATTTTTCATTCATATTGAAATATAAGCCTTTTTTCTTACATCAATGCAAAAATTAACTTTTAGCTCTTCAATTGCATTAAAATTCAATATGGGGGGGGGTACATTCTTTACTGTAAGTAAGCATTAAATCAAAGATAAAAAATCAGAAACTTACATTGCACAATCAAATGAGCTATTTTTATATCGGGTTCACCAATTCCATTAAAAGCTTCGCATTCCAGAGTACCCGAATCTTGTTTGGAGACATTGAAAAGTGTCAGTAAAGACCGACCATTTTCAGTAAATTGCTGATTTTCTCTTAAAATGATCGCCCCGCCTTTCGTGCTCCAGCGTATCATATCCGGGATTATTGGATTGGCTGATATGCTGCACTCAAAGTATGCATTCTCGCCTTCAGCAACAAGCACCCTTGTAGTAATGTTCGTCACAACAGCAGGATCTAAAAATACAGAGATAAAATAAAGAATTAATTGGTGAGAATAACATAGAGGTTAAATGGGGGTTGTTTCGTGCCTCCAATAAATCTACCCGATTTATCAAAGCTAAAAAAATATCTTGAAATTCTAAAATAAGTAACTGCGTTCTATCAAGACAACCATTTTATTATAAAACTTCAGAATAACTATCTTTTTTCGTTGCCACTCAAAATTATCAATAAACACTGGATAATATTACGCTAATGACGCTTTTAACTAATGACGTCAGAAATAATCGTTTGCATTAAATTTAGTTTATAATAATCATATGTAATCGTTTGGTCTTTTTATAGCTTTGCATAACAGGGGTATACAATTGTGTAGATAATATTTAAAAAAAAGATGTAGTAAAATGTAAAATGAAAGATAGTATTAGTTTTAATTATGTCTGGCAAAATGCAGAAACAAATGTATTTCAAAATGTTTATACAGTCGAAGTTTATTGGTATGTCTGCGGACTCAGTAATAAGTCAACTATAAACGGTGGTTCACTATTTTAAAATTTTTGAAACATTATTTATTAGCACATGACAATAGTATTAATGGAGATAGGGATTACGATAGTACCTATTCTTTTATAAATAAAACTTAATTAAATTAGATATTAAAAGGAAAACTAATTAATTAGTTTTTACATTTTATGTGTAGCAAAGGTACAAAACAACCAATGCCAAAGTTTATACATTCGAACCCTGTTATATTGGTATGTTTACGGACCCAGTAATAACTCAACTATAAATGGTGGTTCACTACTTTCAAGTTTTTGAAAAATTATTTTTTAGCATATGGCAATAGTATTAGTGGAAATAGTGATTACGATAGCACATATTTATTTTTACACGCTTTTAATAGAATTAAAAAGAATAATAATTAATTAGTTTTTACATTCTAAGAAAGAAATTAATGATTTTTTGATTGACTGCAATTCGATTTGAAATAGAGAGATTTCTGTCTTAAAGAAACTTTTGTTTTACTTAAAGCAAATGCAAAAAACGTCAGGCACATCACTTTAGTAATACCCTTTAGATTAGACGAAACCTAAAATTACCTTTCACATCTTTCTAAAATGATGCTCCCTACGGTTTTCGTCTTAAGTACTTTTGTTTTATTATTTCTTGATCATTTCGTGATATACAATCATTGAATAAAATAATTTTCAAATGTAAATATTTTAATTGCATCTTACTTCAGCTTTTATGCGAAAACTCTTTCTTTGTATTCGTTCGATAGTAGCTTTTTATTTACTTTTGCTACTATAAACTATATATATATATATATATATATAAACTAGTANAGAACTTTGTGATTTAACGTACTGTAATAAATATAAATTCATTGTATTTTTTTTTGTTGTTGTTGAGTATTTTTAAAGATGGGTTACTTCTTCAGCGGTATATTAAATAACCAAAAATATGTCTTTATTTCATAACTGAATTAATAAAAACAATATAAAAGAATTGAATAAAAAATAGAAAAATGAATTGTAAAATCTTCAATAAATCTTTCAGCATAATCCAACATAATCTTGACAGCTAAAATAAAACCAAAATAACTTCCCAGTCATTTCTAAAAATATTTCATGCGTTTTTTAGTTTTTCTTTAGCTTTTTTCGAAGCAACTTCATTTTTGTTTCGATTTTGCAGAACATTAAAATGTTAATTAATGCACAACTTTAATCCAAAAATGGATTAAAAGACAGGATGTGAATCCTGTCTTTTCATTCACATCCTGTCTTTTAATCTATTTTTGGCTTGAAGTTATGCATTAATTAACATTTCAATGTTTTTCTCTACATTAAATTGTGAGAAAAACTTTATTCCACGACCTATTTAATTGACCAATTATAATTAAGATTTCCTTTATTCCCTAAAATGAAACATTTTGCCGATTTATTTCGCAAGATTATCCCTAACTTTCTTTGAGGAACAATTCGATTTTGTGTTACTTGGATATTCATTCTCTGATTAAGATGGTAAAATAAAATTAATTTGCTCATTTTAAAAACTTGTGCCTCTTTGTCTTGCTTGCATAACTTCCACCCTTAGAAGTCATCAGGATAAAACTGTAGGTAAGAGGGTACACCGGTTGAAGAGGGTACATTGAAGATATAGAATAATTGATTTAAATTGAATTGTTTATTTGAATAATGTTTATTGAATAATATTTATTTTCTTCAATCGCCAAACTTCGTCATTAAAATTTTTTTAAAGCGCTATTTTTCTGGAACAACCAATTCTTCTTTAGCAAATTGGAACTTCTTTAATCAACAAAATTTCATGATGAATGGGGGCTTACGTATTATTTATGTATGCAGCATGTTATGCCCATAAGTTCTAAAGATTACTGAAGAGCTTAGATATTTTTCATCAAGGAGGGGGTCCTTGAACAGGAAAGATAAATTGTGTCGAACTGCAAATAGCTGTGGAAGAATTTTGAGTTTACAAGTGACTTTCGCAAAGCGTGGATATGCCTCACCCTATGTTCTCGGGATTGTTTCGTCAGTGATTTGTTCTCACCCCGCCTCATTTAAGGAGAAACATCATTCATTTAAACTTGGTTTTAATTCTTCGTGCACTTTAGAATTAGCATAAGAACATAAATTAGGAGTAATTGCGAGGAGTAATTGTGTAGTAAGTTTTATTCCCCTTACCCTACTAGTTGCTTGGGGAAAGTTGTATCCTTTAAGGTATTTAATACAAATTTTTATTAATTTTAGTTTTATAACTTCGTGTTTTAAATGATTACTACATAATATTTTTTTCAATTAAAATAAATAATAAATCTATCATCCAAACAAACACTTTTTTCTGGCAAAAATTACATTTTAATTTTATTTACTAATTACACTGTTTTGTTTTAATTCCCCCCTCCTAATTTCATTACATTCTTGATATTAAATTTAGAATTGATATAATTTTGTTCAGATGGAATTTTCAGCGAAAAACAGGTGTTCAATTAAAATATTAATTGGATTTCCATGCTTTTATTTTAAATGTTTCACAAGAGTTTTATTCGATGAAATTGTTATTAAATTGTATTTATTGTTTTTAAATTTTTGAAGCAATTTTTACCAGAGTTTATATCTATCTATGAAATAGTATTGATTTTTTTAATGATATTTGAATTGATGATTAATGATTTTATTTATTCATTTATTCTAATAATAATTTCGAAATATTTCACGATTATAAAGCTAATTGGTGTTTAAATAACAAAAGTAATCATAGATTTTGATTAAAATTTTTGAAATTTTTTTCTCATCCTTGTAGTTTTAATTGATAATATTTATTTTTCATACATAGTTCTTATTTTCATAGTTTAACACATATGTTTTATATTTACAATTCGGAAACTTATTCATGGGAAATTTTTCTTTCAAAAAATGCATGATTTTGATTTGCATAAAAATGTTTAGGGAAATTATTGTCTATTTTATTGTTTTATTTGCTAGAGCATATATGATCTATTGATTGTATGAGTAAAATTTAAATTTTTGTTTTAAATGTTGTGTTAAATATCGTCAGTTAAATTTTGAGTTTTAAAAACTAATTTACAAATATACCATATTAAACTTGATAGCTTGCATTGGATTACAGTCAGTGATTGATTGTGTTAAACAGGTTATAATGCAAAATCGAAGAAAACTGATAACTTTTTTCTGATAATAAAAGCAACTTTGATTCGAAACACTTCGATTTTGTGTCACTTGAATATTCATTCTGGGATCTGGGATTAGCAAAGCCAATCGTTAAAGGCTAAAATAAACTAAAAATATCTTCCTAGAATTTTCTGAAAATATTTCATGCGTTCTTTATTTTTTTCTTCAACGTTTTTCATAGCAACCTTATTTCTGTTTCGATTTTGTGGAACACAAAATGAAGTAAAGGAATAAATCCGATATGATATCAGAAAAATATTTGCTACATTACTAAGCTAATAATTGACTAAAGAGTACACTAATTCGATACTATTCTGTTGTTGATGCTTCTAATGCCACTTGCCAAAACCAGCAAGCCTGCTTAGGGAAATCAAGCGAATTAAAGGTAGAGGGTGCATTATTTGTTTTTCAGTGGCGTAATATAGAGTCAAGTATACGAATTCAGCCACAAGCAGTTCCAGCCCGTTCATAGGGTTAACCCATTTATACATCCATTTATTCATCCACGAACCGTAATTTTTACATGAACCAGAGAACGATCAATCTGCAGTTCAGTATCCCCAGAGGTATTGATTTGTTATGGAAGCATGGAGAACTTTGTGATTTAACGTACTGTAATAAATATAAATTCATTGTATTTTTTTTTGATGTTGTTGAGTATTTTTAAAGATGGGTTACTTCTTCAGCGGAAATAGTTGGCTTATTTCATCAATAGATGGCTGCACTGGTTAGCTCTGCTTATTTTCGAATTCTTGTGAGTGTTTATGGTGTTTCAACATGATTTGCCTCCAGGTGGCACCACCATTATAAATTTGAAATTCAATCACAATAGTATTGTGTATTGGAGATTCTAATTATCCTTTTAAGTTGGATTTTTGGGTTGAATTATGTGTATTTAAGTTTATTTATATTTAATTAGTATTGTCTTATCACTTTTATGAGGTATTATTTAATTTGGGACTGTTTTTTTAATGGAACTTTTTTTTTGTTGTTCTGACGTCGACTGGTTGCCTGGCGGCTCGTGGGGGGGACAGGTCAGTCTAAGATTCTTTCGCCTTGCTGAGAAGAGAATAAAACGGTCGTGAAGAGTGACTGAAGGAGAATGGATTAAGACCGCTGAGAGGATGGACTAAGACGGTGCCGCTGAGCGGATGATGAATTAAAGCCGGAGTCGCTGAGAAGGATGAACCAAGACGGTACCACTGAGAGAATGATTAATTAAAGCCAGAGTTGCTGAGTAAGATGGTCTAAGATGAACCGCTGAAAAGATAATGTATTAAAACCAGAGTCGCTGAATTAATGGACTAGATCGGAGTCCCTGAGTGGATGAGCGGGAGTCTTGAGAAAAGTTAAGTCGAAGCCTCTAAGTTGATGACTGAAAGTGATGAGCTGAGTGCTGCTATGTTCGAGCCGAGTCTGTTGGCCTATCCAGAGCGTACCAATGCTGAAAGTCTGTTGTCCCACTTGTGCAAACTGCCTTACTAGAAGGATGCCTAAAGAAGTTTGAAGTGCTGTCTATTAGAAACTGAAAGGTTGACCTGATCCACGAGTCTGACGGCAATACCGGTGGGCGCTCCAGGAATTTGGTCCGTGATTTGATTTGCATTTATAAACTCAAGTTCGATTTTAGTACAGATTTAAAAGAATAATTTACCCTCACTTTTAATTGCTTCTACTATATTTTAAGATATATATTTTTGAGATAAGCCTCTTATTTTTAATCGGGTTTGCAGGATTAGAGAATATTGTGATTTTTATTTTTAATTGCTTTAGTAGATTTTAAGATAAGTGTGCCTTTTATTCTTAATTGTTTTTACTGGAGAGTAGTAGAATAATGAGCCTTGTATTTTTAATTGCATTTTATTGAAAATATAGTTTCGTATTGATAAAATTTGAACTTGAAGTTATGTATAGTTTGGAAATATGTGATATTTACGGAAAGCATTTAGAAATGGTTTGAGTTGTTTTTGTTTGAAAATTTGAGTCTTAATAAAAGTTTTGGTAGATGTTAAATGTTTCAAGTAATTCCTTTGCTGATTTTCTTTGTTGAACCTGGGTAACTGTTACCAAAGTTAATTTATTGATCACAGCATAATCAAAGTTTTAAGGGCAACAGTACAATACACAATAGTCGCTATTTACTACACAAGGAATCTTCGACCGGCGGAGATCGAACTCACGACTTCTGGGAAATGCATCCTATGAACCAGGTTATCCCGGCCAATACAATTCTATTATTGATGAACGTTGCTTAGCAATATAAAGTCTACCCTGCTCATGGAAAAATATTTCATCAGAAATATCTAACTTCTTAAATTTGCGTCCTTAAAATACAATCCATAGATATTTTTTAAAAAGCTAAAAAATTGTTTACATTTCGTAACTAAATAAAACTACACAATATAAAAGAAATTTATTTTTGAAAGAATAAAGAGATGAATTATAAAAACTTCAATAAATCTTTTAGCAAAATCCCCCGTTGAAAGCTAAAATAAAATAAAAAAGAAAAATAACTTCCCAACCTTTTCTAAAAATATTTCGTGCTTTCTTTTTTTTCCAGCTTTTTTTCGCAGCAACTTAATTTTTGTTTCGATTTCGCGGAACACAAAATAAAGTAAAGGTATAAATCCGATATGAAATCAGGAAAATATTTTCGGAAATGTATCAAGGTATATATTTTTATAGCTTCTTTTTTACTCTTCCAGAGACTCATCCGTTTTGTTGGTAATGTTTCGTTAATGGGAATATGGAAGTTTTCAAAAAGTTTTCCAAACAGTTTAATCATATTGAATGTACTTCGAAGAATTTTTTCAGGAAATTGCGTAATCTCAGGAGGCTACAGAAAAAAAAATTCTTAATCTTCTCTCGTTTTCTTCTGTAAAGATTTTGACGTTAACATTTAATCTACTTAATTGAGTAGGAATGATATATTATTTTTTAAAAGATGGAAGCTAATACATTTCACAATAAAAAAAATAATATAAGCTTGTTCAAAATAATTCAAATCTTACTTAATGTTTTATTATTATTTTCTTGACGAAATTTTTATAAGAATACTACTTAAAATGAACTAAAAGTATTACGTACTTTATTTACTTAACAATATCTTGCTTACAAATATCTAATGCCAAATTTAGTTATAATTTTATGTTTCTAAATTTTACAGAATTTTAAGATTTGTATTAAGACTTTAGTATTTTTAAGATCATAATGTTTTCTCTATTAATAAAACCTAAAAAATTGGGAAACTTAAAACTTTCCTTAAGCTTAGTTCAAGATTTATTTAAATAAAAAAGAAAATTATATCTTAATAGTTATCAGTGCCAGATTACAAGCTATGATTTGATAGAGTTTGTTATATTTTGTATTTTTAGGTCATTTGTTGTGCTGTTAGGCATTTAAGACCTTTGTAATAGCACTTATTAGCATTGGTCTTCAAGACATGTATTATTCTCATTCATTAATAGCCCTTGAGTATAAATATTGTAAATAGTAATCAAACTAACCAAAAATAGCGAAAGATAGGTCATTAGTAGAATAATAATAGTGAAATAAAACGAGTGATGATGATGATGAATGAGTCAAATGAAATTAAAAACGAGTAACTTTTATCTAATAACATAAATTAATGACGTAATTACATAAAGTAATGACAACTTTATTTTTAAACTTATTGGAGTTGAAAGCCTTAAGTGTTAAAAGCGATATATCAGGTTAACTTTTTGAGAAAAGTTTGTAATGCTGGTTTCAAGTGTAGAAGCAATTTTTTTTTAATTAGCATGATACTTTTGTAGATTTAAAGCGAAATTGAATTGATCATGCGAAAATTGAATTTAATTTACTTAGAATTTTAATTCTGATTGTAATTTGTGACACTGCTTTAAGCAGGGATGGGCAAACTACGGCCCGCGGGTCAACTGTGGCCCGCCGGAAGGTTTTATCCGGCCCGCGGATAGAATTTTAACTCCTTTTTCTTGTCTACTTTGCTTAAAGTTTTTTTTTGCTGTTTCTTCTTTTTTAATAAAGTTTTGATGACCTTTTCACTTTCTCTATTTTTGTTCTACAGAGCATAAATTGATGGAAATAGTTAGCACAGACAGCTTCAATTGGTAAAATGTTGAAAGTAGTCTTTATTGAATACCCGTAGATTGGCTCCAACGAGGGTCCGTCTTTCTCGAGGAGCAGACATATGGAATCTACTATAGGTGAATTGCACTTCACATGTGGCCGACTGCCCATTTTAAGCAAAAACGAGTGGATTTTTCTGCCGGCATGAGTTCTGACATTTATTGGGTATGGATACCCAATAAATGTTACCCAATAATGTTACCCAATAAATGTTTAGTGATTGCACATATATGTCATTGTAAATAATGGTGAAATTATTGAATTTATAAAGTGGTTAGTGCTTTTTTGCCTTATTTGTAAACTTTTTTAACCCCCCAAAAGCTACTAAAAACGCAAAGTTGATTTAGAGTGCCATGTGTTCAATGATGAATGGACTTAGACAGATCTTCTTTGTCATATGAACAACTTGAATCGTTCTTCGTTTGAACAACTTGAATCGTTAGTCTCGTTCCTTGAAATAAGCACATCTCACTTCGAACTTCTATATAAGGAAATGAAATTGCTGTTTCATTCATCTCTTTAAAAATCTAAATTAAAATTTGTATGTCGTATTTTTTTTCGAAGTTTTTACTTGACCCACGAAACTTTTTTTTTTCTCGATTTTTGGCCCTCGATCAAAACAGTTTGCCCCTCCCTGGTTTAAAGCATGAGCAGCATGCATAAAAGGTTAAGCACGAAAACAATTTTGAGAATAAACGCGTATCGCGCTTTAATTACAGGTCCCCAAGCATTATTTCTGCACAATTTTTTAGTAAAAACTGACGTGATTTTATATGTTCAATTTTGCTTTCGTGTGACATTGAAAGCTTTTAAAAAATCCTTTTTCCTTGATAACGCAATCATTGGTCACTACTTGGTATTAAAATATATTTAATTTCTGGAGAAAACATAACTGAGTAGAACGATTAATTGAAAAAAAAAGAAAGAAAGAAAAAAAAAACTCCACATGTCATTTGGAAATTTAAGTAAATTTTTTATTTCAGATTTCTTTATAGTAAATCATTAAATTTATCTATCGTGCCTCGGTGGATTAGGGGATAGCGATTTTGCCTCCCAATGCGGTGACCCGATTTCGAATGGTACGAATTCTGCTCCCGTTTTTACACCAACCACAATGCCAAAGTAAAACTACCTCAGTGGTAGATGGATCATGGTTTTGAATCTCTTTTCGATCGGGATTACAATGAGGGCCTTACGTGGTTTTCCTGTCACTTAACACTCTCGCTTAGTTCCGTTTAAGAGCCAAGAAGGCTAGTTTGTCCTAATGATTTATCCAGGAGGCCTCTTTACTTCTGGGTTGAGCTCGAAATTACTAGTTTATGGAGCTGAGCATTGATAATCATGAACTCAGAAACTGCGTTGGCTGTTCAACGCTGGTTATAAAAAAATGTGTATTGCTTATACATTTTTCCTAGCATAACTTGCAACCACTTATGTGAATACACTTCAAATTTCTCTTTTGACTAACATTCTCGAAATATGTATTAAGGACAGTTATTATGAAATACCGTGTACGTTTAAAAAAAGCATTTCCTTTTTTTAAAAAAAGTTTTAAAATATTATGCTTTAATTTTTTTTGACCGTTCCAAGGCCTGACCGTTCCAAGGCCTGTACTTAAAAACCTCTTATCAAAACTTTCTACATGAAAAAGAGTTTTAAAAAAGAAAAAAAAAATTCAGTGGGGACTTACATTGCACGTTCAAAATTATAGTTGCATTTGAAGTTCCTTCTTCGTTTTCAGCCATACAAATGTAGGTGCCAGCGTCTTTTCTCGCCACGTTCAATATGTAGAGTACAGGCCCGGAAGACATAACTCGGTGTAGATGATCATCCATTTCTGACATCGGAGGGATCAACGAAGAATCCCTTGTCCATGAAAACCATGCCACGTCAGGATAAGCATTGACACTGATATTCACTGTTGCGTTTGTACCTTCGGCTACGTCCACCCTTTGATAAGGTTCTGGAAACTCTGGTTTGTCTGATGGAAATCAAAAACAGAGAAGAAAGTCAAAAACACATATGAAATGAAAGGCATAATATAGAAAGAAAGATGTCAAAAACAGGCATAAAATGAAAGACAATTTTCAAGTACACATATTTTATCTTATCTAGTAGAATGATTTGTTTTTTTTTTCATGTGTTATATTAAATTTGAAATATCGAGGTTTTTTCAAATCTAAGTTTATAATGTTAAAATGACGTTAAATGATAAAAATTACACATATGTTAAATGATGTATAATGTTAAATGATAAAAAAGTACAGTGCGCAGCAAATTTTCAGCTGGATTTATACAGATAATTGTTCTTGTCTAATTCGGGTGTGGAGATTTCAGATCTGAAATTAGCTTTATCTCAAAAGATACAGATTTTTTTGGTATATATTTTGCCAAAATGTACAAGTTTAAAAACGTTATATACAATAGGGGTCTAGTATATGTTACGACACTCTTTAAGAGTAGTCGGGGCACATTTTCAAGATTAAAATTGCATAGGAACCCATGCCCGGAATTGTCACCGTACAGAGCTAAAGGCGTTTATCTATTGTGACAGGTTCAAACGAACACAAACAGTTCATAATAATAGGTAGTGCCTCTAGTGGTGTATGACGATATTTCTGGGCATCGGCTTGTTACTTATAACATAACATTTCAAAACTTGTATATTTCAACAAAAAAAAGAATAAAAATATCATTAAAAGAAAACTGTAGCTGTTGCGCGAATTGGAGAGAAACCTGTTGCGTCACTGATTTTAAATTAGTAACGTAAAAATATATATAATCCGTTACAGTAAAACAAACAAATTCGTTCCCCAGTGTTATTGAAAAAGGACGAGAGAATATGCAGTTTGACATAACTTCCATACTTGCTCACAAAACTGGCATGATATTTGAAATTTAACACTTTAGAAATTAACACTTCGACATTTTAATCTCTCCATGACCTTAGTAATTGGCCTCTTGTGGGCGACAGGATCAGCACCTCTATCCTGCTTAAATTAAAACTCATTTCACTTAATCATGATGTTCCTTTGCAATAGGTACCTTCCCACGTGAATCTCAACGGGAATGAAATGGCTGATATTCTTGCTAAGGAGGGTTGCAGGATTACAACAACTCCCTCTTCCACACTTTTTCGGAGTTTAACTCTCTGGAAAAATCAAAAATCTCGGAGGAGTGCATAACACCCCCAACCCATAATTGGTACAAAGGATCAAAACCGGGTTTGTCCCTTGACCTCCCGTGTGACAGACGTACCCGGACTGCTCTATCAAGGCTTGTTAGCGGTCACATTAAGTGCCTCACTTTCAACGAGGGCAGGAAAACCTTCGTCATCTGCACCAAGTTCCAAATTCATGAGGCATCTCCTGAGCACTTCTTGGATTGCATGGGACTCTCTAAGGAGGATCTCTATAGCAATCCTCTCCTTGTCTTCGACTTCCTTTCAGTCAACGAACTCGTGGATCTTGTCTGACTCCGTCAGACAGAGAGGATAAGCAACAACAACAACAACATTTTAATTTTTGCAGCACTTTTCATCGTTGAAGAGAACATGTTTGCATTTTTTCACACATTTAAATATTTTATTAAACACGTTCAAATGCAGTAAGTTATCAGCGAAAAAAAAATTATGGATACATTACTTACGCCTCACTCTTATGGTAACGTTGGTAATGACAGCTGGAAGATCATCGCTCTTTGCTTTACATTCAAATATAGTTTTGTCATCTGCAGACGTGACGGGGAATGTTAAAACACTCCTCGTTGAAATAGCACCAAAATCAGCGCTTAGAGTTTCTTCTGTATGGTCTCGTACATGACGTCCATCTCTCTTCCATGTGATTCGTGCTAATGGATTACTGCCACTTGATAAGCATGTTAACGTTACCTTGAAAAAATAAAGTAAAACTTTGAAGTTAAAAACATAGTAAAATGTCGCAGACTAAAAAAATCGTTAAAGATCAAATATAATAAGAGAAATGTAATTTTATCTGCCGTACACTGTTCCTATAATATGTGTTGCTACTTTTCCTAAAGGGTACGCTGAAAATTTTAAAGGACGGTAGGACTTTCTACTAGGTCAGTACACTGTAGAAAAAACCGAAACAAATTGCGGTATAAAGTACCGATACTTTGGCATCATCCGTAAAAGTCATTTTACCGTAAAATTCATTTCTACCGTAAAATATATCGTAATTTTGACATTAATATTTATTTAATTAGACTGATTCAGTAATTTTATTGTAATTATTACTCTTAAAGTAACGGTATATCAGATTTTTTATTCTGTAACATGCTCCGTTAAAAAATTACTGGTACTTTTTAGCGTAATTTGATTTGGAATTATATACAGAAAATACTTTTAATATTGAGTACACTTTAAAAATATATATTTTTTGTATCGAGAACTCGTGTAATAAATTCTGTAGTTAAAACAAATTATATCGTGTAATAAATAATTTAATTTCCTAAAAAAATTTTAATGACGCATGTATAAAATAGTTAATTGTAATTTATTAGACATAATATTATTTAACTAATCTTGAAGTGAAAAAAAATACTCTCACTTTCTTGTTATTTTAACAGATTATTTAAGAATTACCAGCTTAAACTTTCGTTGTCTGTATTCTTATAACATACGGAAGAGAGTCTTGCTTATTAGAATATCTTAAGAAAAATCTATTAAGACTAATAATTAGAAAAAAGTTTGGACTGTGATGTATTTTAAAAATGTTATAGCTTACAATATTTTAAATCTGGATCTTTTTATAAATATTTTCATTTGATCTAGACATTTTGTTTCCGGTGATTTGCATATTTTTTGCACACAGAATAACTTTTGGATACAGCAATGTGATGATAAGTATCAAAATATACAATGTGCAAAGGTATCAATCAGCTCATTGTTTCACTAAGTCCAAATGCGTGAATTTTTAATTTACAATTTAAATTGCATAATTTTCACGCTTAAGCCTTTCAGGGGCGGGGAAATAAAAACTGTCCCACTTATTTTCTACAATATTACAAACCTCTAAATTTGTAATAGTTTTTTTTTTCCTACGCGAATAAGGAAACATTAAAAAGAGAACAAAAATTCGCCTTTTTATGGAACATAGTTTAAAAATGTTTGCCTTGCAAAGATGATCTAGAAGTGTTACAGAGAAACTTAGGCTTTTTAAACTAAAAATATTTTTTTCTCATTTTTCATTTTGGCAACAAAAGTATGAGAAAATTATGAAAATTATCAACAAAAAAAAAATTTTCAGAGTAAAACTCTTACAAAATGCTTAAATGTATCCTTAAGGTGTCACTTACCAACATAATACATAAGATGTAAATAAATAAGATGTAAAATAAGAATACATCTAAGGTCAAATAGATTTACAAGTTCATAATTAAATTTTAGGAGAATTATTGTTGATCGTGATATGAGATGTATTTTGCTGGATTTCAAGTGCTCTGTTATACTCCTCCTAATTAGTCCACAATAAGTGAATTGTAACAATAAATGAGCCCGAGTATAGACATAATTGGTTAATATGTGGTGAACAATACCGGCTGAAACAAAAGACATAAATTAGCTCAAAATGAGCCTAAATTTGAACTTAAATAAAATTAAAATAATAAAAATTTGAACAAAGATTTATTTTGTTGGTATACCTCCTTTACTGATAATAATTTCTAAATTAATACAAGAAGAATATAAAATTCCATTTAAATTATAATACAAGAATTTTTCAAATAAATATTTAACAATTACTTTATTTAAACAAAAATATGATAATTTGTAGTTTAACGTTGAAAGTGAAGTTTGGTGAAAAAAAAATATTTTACCTCATCTCCAGCTTTAGGATCACAAGGTTTCAAAGTGATAGTTACATTTGAAGGTGGAACTGCAAATAAATAAATATCATGTAATACAAAATATAAATAAATAGTTGAAAATTCTAACACTGTTAAAACTTTAAAATATAATAATAATAAAAAAAATTAAAATATAACATCAATATATGATGTAAGTTATCTGAATGATTTTAAAAGAGGGAACGACTTTAAAATTTCTCATAAATTGATAAAAATTTACAGCTGTTTATAAAATCGAAATAAATAGTAAATTTTTTATTGAAGCTGCATACATAAATATATTTCATACCATTTGAGATAGAATTACTTAAAAATTACATAATCTTAAACGCCAAAGTATTCAAATAAGATATTACGAGTTATAGATTTCAATTTTATTGTATGCATTACATTAGTGAAGGCAATTACTAAAGCACTTTAAAACTTGGCAAAATTTACAAGACACCTTTTTAGTAAAGAGTTAAGTTATTGGTTGCTAAGTTTTTTATACTCGTTTATTCTTTTAGAAATATTTTGTCATATCACAATGAAAAGCTGAATTTCTTGAATGTGTGACAAACGTTTACGCATAATTTTTTTTTTATACGTTGTCAAAGTTTAAAATTTGCAAGGTGACACAACGCAAGTTATACTTGGTGTCATTTTTTCCCCTTCGTAACAACTATTAAAAAAAATTGTTTTAAATTATTTAAATATATTAATCTTTTTCTTCAAAATATTAAGCTTAAAGAATAATATTGTATATACGTTGGTGATAATTATTTCAAAGAATAATAAAGAGGGAGTATACGTGTAATGCGTCTTCGCCATATCGATACACATATTTTACGAACCGCAGTAGTGTCACCGTAATCAAATCTTCCCATATAATCTAATAAAGTTTCCACAGAGCAGCAGAATGAGAAATTGTATTTCATTCATTTACTACATCTTCTGCATCAGTTACTATCATCACTATTTGATTTAACAACATAACGATGTCTTCATCAGTCAAATACTGGAAGCCAGACTCACATGCATCACTTTGAAACCAATCTTCTAAATTTTCTTCATCAAGAATTTCGAAACCTTAGATTTCTTTTGCTTGTTCGAGAATACTGTTATCATATTTTTCTTGAACNTTTTTTATTGAAGCTGCATACATAAATATATTTCATACCATTTGAGATAGAATTACTTAAAAATTACATAATCTTAAACGCCAAAGTATTTAAATAAGATATTATGAGATATAAATTACAATTTTATTGTATGCATTACATTAGTGAAGGCAATTACTAAAACACTTTAAAACTTGTCAAAATTTACAAGACACCTTTTTAGTGAGGAGTTAAGTTATTGGTTGCTAAGTTTTTTATACTCGTTTATTCTTTTAGAAATATTTTGACATCTCACGATGAAAAGCTAAATTTCTTGAATGTGTGACAAACGTTTACGCATAATCTTTTTTTATACGTTGTCAAAGTTTAAAAATTACAAGTTGACACAACGCAAGTTATACTTGGTGTGATTTTTTTCCCTTTGTAACAACTATTTAAAAAAATTATTTTAAAGTATTCAAATTTATTCATCTTTTTTCTTCAAAATATTAGGCTTAAGGAATAATATTGTATATACATTGGTGATAATTATTTCAAAGATTAATAGAGAGGGAGTTTTGAGTAATATTTAATATGAGAGATACAAAATTTTTAAAGAAATAATTCATAGACAAAAGTGAATTGAGAAATATGATAAATGTGAAACATTTACAACTAGCTTCAGTTTTTGCTCACTTTTTAAAAATTATTTTAAAATATTATGCGTTTACAAAATTGTTATAATTCTTATAAAAGTGTTACACTGAAATAAGTACATGATATTTTGCAGAAATATTGTGATAATTATTTCAAAGAACAATATAGAGATAGTTTTGTGAAATATTTGATATGGCAGATTCAAAATTTCAAAAGATATAATTCATATTTAAAAAGGAAATGGACTTCACAATAAATTTGATATGAAATTTACGACTAGCGTCAGTTCTCACGTATTTTTTTTAAAATTCTAGTAAAATATTATGCGTTTTAAAAGTTGTTATAATTCTCTTAAGGGTATTACACTCAAAACATGGAAATTGCATATTGAAGGTATATTGTGATAATTATTTCAAAGAACAATCGAGAGAGAGAGTTTTGCGCAGTATATAATATAACAAAGTACAAGATTTTTAAAATATATAATTCATAGACAAAAGCGAAATGACATTCCTGATAAGTTTGATATGAAATTTAAAACTAACTTCAGTTTTCACTTATTTTTTAAAAATTATTTTAAAATGTTATGCGGCTTCAAAGTTCTTATAATTCTTTTAAAAGTGTGTGATAATAAAAAATTCTTTATAAAGTGTGTAACAAATAAAACATATCATATATTTCAGAAATAAATAGAGTCATAATTGATACAAAGGATAAGTTGGGAGAGTTTCACTAGTTATTTAATATGGCACATACAAAAGCCAATATTACCAAAGCATATAATTCATAAAAATGTAAACTAACGTAAGCTTTGATAAGAAATTCCCGAAACAATTGTTAGAGCGCGCGCAAGGTATAGCTTCTGAAACACGCAATCCGTAGTGGAAAAAAAATGATAGATTAATATATGACTTGAAATGGTTATTTGAAACTGTAAATATTGACAGGCTATCTTGTTAAAAGAAAATGCAAAGTATAATTAAAAATATCATTTGCATAACTCTGTTATAAATATTTTTTTAAGTATTGTTATATTTACAGAAATCTGGTGTAGTGGGAAATATTTAGGAAAAAATGCGCATTCTCCCATCTTTCAATCTACAATAAGCGAGCTATAAGCGCAACCAAGCAAAGAGACAACCGAGCAGTAATCCTCATCATCATCATTCATATGGAATATATATGAAGCCGATTCTTGATACATTAACAAGCCTATGAAATGCATCAAGAGTGTAAATTTATGGATTTATAACTTACATTTCGTATACGACGGTTCTTTTGTCGTATAAAAAAATACTGGTTTGTTGATTTAATTTGTGCTGAAAGAATCATGATCAACGGCAATTACCAGGAAATATAGAATACGTCAGAATTAACCAAGCGCCTTTATCCGAAGATGAAAAGTTTCAACAAAATTTGCCACTCTGAAATGATTTTCAAAAAATAAATGAATAAATAATAAACAAAATATATGCCAAAGATGAAGTGGCTGTCTTAAAGTAACTCAGAAACTCTCCTAAACTGAATCCCACAGAAAATCTATAAGTTATTTACAAGCAAAAAGTCGATATAATCAATTGAAGAACACCAAATAGCTTTATTTTTTTCATTGATTTAAATATGGCATAAGGAAGAAGAAATTACTAAAACCTGAGGAAGCCTGGTAGAATGTGTGCTAAAACTAAAACGATTAAAATTGGTTACAGGCATAATAATTAAATAATTAATTAAGAATAAAATGTGCTTGTATTTCCAATAAACTGTTTTCCAAGCTATATGTTATATTAAATTAGTACACTCACTATCGTGTATGTTCATCATTTCCTACAATAGATTCCAAAAATTAATCAGAAAAATTTCCCAAGATAGAATTATCACACTTCGGTTTGAAAATTTCTTATATTGTTGAATAAATCAGAAATTATTGAATTTTATCTTAAATATAAAAAAAAAATTATTTTTATAAAAATGTGCTTGAGAAAATTCGATAAAAGCCAATTAAAAACTAAAACATTATGACAACGTAGCAAGATTCGTTGAAGCAAATTTATACATTACTTCAAATAAATATTCATTAATTAATTTAAAAAAAATAACTGTTGAAAATGATAAATAAACAGTTCTAAATTGTGCTATTGATAAGTTTTGTATTTTGTGTTAGAAATCCCGTTATAAAACAGCTAAATACCAATTATTTCCATTTTTTTATTTACTACTTTTACCCGGTATTTTGTTCCTTATTAGATCAAGCAAAATACGTTTCAGCAAGTTCATCCCATCAAAAAAGAAATTTACTATACTCAAAAAAATTATTTACTCAAATTTTAACTAATTTGGTACCTAAAAATACGTTATTAATGCTGAAAGGACGTTTTTTATTTTAATTAAAATTCTTAATGCTAAAGATCTAACATTATTTAATTCTACAGAAACACGAATAGGTTTATCAAAACAGTAATAACCAAAATAAACACGCTATTTCTTAAGCATATTTTTCCTAACACCTACACGGGGACGTCGATCCCACTTGCTAACAATGTTGATTTGTTTTTTGTTGTGTTCACCTGATTTAAAATAGAACAAAAATAATTGGAAAAAAATCGACACCAGTTTAAGTTTTAATAAAGCTTAGTGCTTAGGGGAAAATCCGTTTTTCCCACATCCTTCCTCCACGCACTCTAAAAATAAGTATGGTAAAAATAACCAGATTTTGTTGAATTTACCATACTTCTAGCTCTATGGGACCACCAAAAAGCTCGGTAGTTTTTACCGAAGCTTTTTGAAAGTGATTTTGGTAAAATTAACCATAAAATATGGCTTTATGAAGAGTGGTAAAATGTTGTAATTTTATCACGATGCTTTAAAAAATGGCATAAAAACATTGATTCAATTATATTTACTTTTCAATTTTATATTTTTTCATTAAATGTGTAATAATAAGAACTAATCCTTTGAAAAGCAGAATTCCCGGGAAACCGTTACCATATGAACAGGAATATTACCAAATGAAGGGTTTAAATAGATTATAACAATTTTGTCCACTCATTAATCATTCTGTTTCATTAAACAAATTTATGATTTGCTTATCAGAAATATCCCTACCATACAGTATGGTAATTTTACTAGAATTTTTTTCTCCGTGTGTAGTACTTGTTGATATTCAGATGCACAATCTCTATTTATCATTATAAATGGTTCAATAATATAGAGATACTTACATGAAACATTACATTTTGATCACATTTTGATTTGAAACTTGAGTACTCATGTAATGACTTTCAGATATTCGTAAAAAAAAGCTTCATTTTTTATAACTTTATGGAATAAAGTATTTTTGAAAAAAAGTACTTAAAAATAGATTGATAAAAATTTTCTCACTTACAAAATACGACTGTTTTAATGAAGGCAACCAGTGGTAGCTGAGTGGCAGTGTTATTAGCCTCACATTTGTAGAGCATACCATTATCACTGGGATCCACCCTGATGACGAGTTCACTGGAAACGCCGCTTCCAGTTTTTACAGTCGGTGTGCTTATCTAAAATGGTTTAAGTTAAAGAAAGAGAAATCAACTTGGTTGGTTACTTAAAATTCACATTTCAATTCTTTATTTTTTTTTTTTTTTACAATTATGCGCAGGTGTAGAGTGTTAAAGAGTGCTTATATGAGGTGTAAAGTTTCCCAACAGACGCACTATTCATTATTTCCTTTATCTGAGGTTTTAAATTACGTTCTTATATTGTTTCCTTAATACTCCTTGATAGGAGAATATTTTGGCTAATTTAGAAAATTTTATTTGCCAAACAGAATAAGTAAAATGCTAAGGGGTACCTATGTTTGACTCCCATACACACCAACATTTAACTTCGGGCCTATTTTCCTTAAGGAGCTTTTATATTTTAATATTTAAGGCTGAAAAACGAGGCAAATATTTTTTTTAAAAATAAACTTCGTTAGTTAGAGTATTATGATTGGGATGTTTTCATGTATAATTGGCCAATTTTATAGTTGTTGTGACTCACCATTGCATAATTTTGTCTTTTTTATTATAATTACCTCAGGATCTCCTCTTGATCTCTTAGAAAATTAATCAGGTTACTTCAGAATCGCCACTTAATCTCTTAGAAAATTAAGTTACTTCAGGATCTCCACTTAATTTCTTGGAAAAATAATTAGGTTACTTCAGGATCTCCTCTTCATCTCTTAGAAAATTAATTAGGTTACTTCAGTATTTCCACTTAATTTCTTAGAAAATTAATTAGGTTACTTCAGGATCTCCACTTAATCTCTTAGAAAATTAATTAGATCGTTAGCGTTCTGTCATAAATCGTGTTTCTTGTAAATTGATCTCTTCCAGGCTATGAGGAATTATTGCTTCAGTTGTTTAAAGTGATAAGATGAGGTAGGCGGGAGTCCATATATAAGTTATTAACCTTACAAAATTTTATAGAAAAATTTCTATTTAGGCATTAATCAGTTAGTATAAATAACTAATTTTTAAGTAAATTTATGAATAAATAGTTCGACAAATTGAAATACTTTAGAATTTAATTTTTAAGCATATTTTTAACTATCTTATAAAAAGAAGTTGTTATTATTATAGAAATTTCAGATGTAGAAATTTTAAACTTAAGAATATATAGAAATTAGAAATTTTAAACTTTACATTGACAAATTAGAAAGTCTGCAATGTTTTAGCTAATTTGAACTTTTCAATTTTCTTTTCTCATAATTTTATTTTACCAATTGAACAATCCTTAGATTTAAAGGCAAGCATCAAAGAAAACGAATATTACAACTTAAAATTTCATAGTGATAATTTTTCCTTTTAAAGGCTGTTTAAGAAGTGGCTATTATTATTTTCAGATATGTAAATGCATAATATTATTGTTTAGAGCATTACGTATAGCTTTATTTCTATTCTTTGTTAAATCAAAGTTAAAATCGAGTTTAGGAAAAAAGAATAGTTTCACAGTTAAAACTGTACTTTCTAGTACTTATGGGATTTGGAATTTATGTTAAAGTTTACGAAAAAACGCCAATTTTATTATAGTACAGTCGAATGTTTTGGTAAAAATTTAACAAATTATTAGTTTTCTTCCAATACATGTAAATAATCAAAATGTCATGTATAGTTTCATACAATTAAATTATGTAATAAATGAAAATATGCAGGCGAGTAAAATAGTAACTCAAAAAGGGGTGTTAATGGAAAATCAATCTTTACAATCATGCGAGGATGTGCATGTATATATGATAAATGACATGCATAAAAACTCAATTCATAATGTAAGTTTTCTACAAAAATAACGCAAACAAAACAGTCATTAATAAGATAAGTTCAAAAGCTCTTCTACGTAACTGAATGAGCACAAACATATGCTGCTGACGATCGACTTTCATAGTTGAAAGAATTATGTATAGAATTCGATTCCTTAAAAAGTCCGTTACATGCGGCAGGTTTTCATTTAGTATAACTTTTAGGAATTTTCGTTATAAATTCGCCGGACATTACAAATTTAGCTAATATGAGATAACATCCCATGTACCTTAAAAAAGGTTGATGATTTGAAAACCCATTTCAAGAGAAATGGAAGGCTTGGGAAAGCCTGGTTAGCTGGGTGCTGGACAAATATTCGTTAAAACGGGAGTTCGAATCCAACCGACTGAAGTAAATAGTGATTAGTGCAACTTAAATCTGTCGGTTCACAAACTCCTCCATGCTCCCATAACAGATTATGCCGCTGAGGGTACTGAATTGGAGATTGGTCGTTCTCTGGTTCAAGTCAAAATTACGATATATGGATGATTGAATGGAAGTATGAATGGGATCGCCCTATAAACGGGTGTGACGCATGGGTGTAGCATAAGTCAAATTCTCGGGCATGGATGGCGCCACTGTAATACCGGAACAATAACACCGCTTACCTATGACAACAACAACGGGAAAAGGAAGAAAGTATCTTAAGATTTATAGTATTCTGCTTAAGGAAACCGAATTGTTTCTCGATGTAAATTACAAAATTAGTTACGAAGTTCATTAACTGACAATTATTCTGACAAGAAAACTATAAAAACAAGTATTTGGCTTCCCTTTCAGACCATTCCACATAAATAGAAGCACAAGCTTCTGCTTTCCAAGCACTTACCAAAATTGCCTCACATAGTTATCGCAAATAGTGATTATTTTGAAAACATTCTTCTACAGTTTTACTGAAGTAGTAACGCCATATGTTAATGAGGCTTGATAATAAAGGAACTTGGTGGACATAATTAGATTTCAAAAGAGAAATTAGGATGCAGTGCATTTCTATCTCCTTTCGTTTTTTCTTAATTCGTTTTTCGAATCATAGGTAATTTTTAATGCAATCGAAGGGAAGGGATAACAAAAATTCCTCAACTAACAACGTGATAATTTTTGGATCGTTTCACTGTAATTTTTTTTTTATAGAAAACTAACTTTTAAGCTTCCGATTTTATCTTCTTAATGAACACATGTATGAAAATAATGAACTACAATAATTACATGCCGCCATGGATGCAAGCGTACCTCCCTGTCACCTCTGAACCATTTGAGTGATGCTGGTGGATTACCCCCCAGGGAGACGCAGTTGAAGGTCTGCAGCTCTCCAACTTTCAGTGGTTGTCCTTCTTCATAACCCAGAATCGTTGGTGGTTGAGGCGGATCTGCTGGAAATACATTCCTTACTTTATGGGAATTATGTAACACAAAGTGTTCTCTAAAGGCGTATAAAAAACATAAATTCTGTTAACAATATAGAGATGTCCAACCCAAAGGCTAAACTACATCATTTGACTAGTATAATTCAATCGAGAGTCGTAATTTTGTGGTTGTGAATGGCAACCAGCTGTTTGCAATATCCCTAGTGGACAATTCCTATTTTCATTCCAATCCAATCATATTCCTATTGGTTGTCCTTAGTAGCTTATTTATTTTTGATGATTTTTCAGTAGGCACGTAAGTGGACTAACTACAGCTTGGACATCTCTATGTAATACAGTGAAATTAAGATTCTGAATACTAGAATAAAAGGTAAGAAACATTGAAAAAAAATACATTCTATTTTACATTCATTACTTTTAATACTAAAAAAATGTAACTCGCATAGTTAAAGTTTTTAAAAAAGAAAATCAACTATTTTTGTTCTATATTTTCCAAAAGGTTTCATTTTCTACTATTGTCAGTTAGTTGACATTGGAGCCAAATACATTTTTTTTCAAATCGGTGTTTGTATTTATATACAGACTAAATGACATTGGTAATATCGGGAGAAATATGGATAAATTTCTCAATAGAGCTGCCAGTTTCTACCTGAAAAATTTCATTTGAATACTTGAAAAAAAAATTAACAGACTTAGTGCATATATTTTACAAACGTTAAATCTAAATTTAAGAATTTTATTTTAAGTCTACATAAAAATTTGGGTTGAATTCGTTGAAAAATTTGCTTTTAATGAAAAAGGTTTAGTTAGAGATTTGTTTCGATTGGTGACTCACCAGTATTAGAAATAATGAGAATTTCATACTGCGCAAGCATTCAAACATAAAATACGAATAGCAGATATTTCACATAAATATTAATACACATACTATCATTATACTATATACAAATCATTATTATTAATATACTATAATATACTATTATTATTATCTTTCATGCTATTAATAAATTATTATTTATTTTATTACATACATATTTATTCATTATAAATTTTAAAATTCATGATTTAAATTTTATTTGCTTGTTGATTGCTTTTCTGCACAGCAAACATATTTTGTTCTTCTTTGTTATTTAAAGGTCAAACACTAATTGGAGGAAAATATTTTGTAAAAATTATTCCTGGTAATTACTCAGTTCTAACTACGGAATATTTTTATACAGGCATTTTTATTAAATTAAACGCAATAGTAAACTAGAATACTAAAATCCTTACTACTCACAGGTTACTGTTAACTTGTGCGTTCGAAATGTCTTCTTCCGCACCGGTGGATTCTCAGCATAACACGAAAACGATTTCACATCTGGATCCTAGGATGGAAAATAAATAAAACACTTTTGTCAGTAGATACCTTTATCATTCACTTAAAGTTATTAAATGCAAGAAAAAAAATTATAAAATATACTAACATCAATAGTCAAATTTTTCTATATTTTTGTAATTAATTTTGAAACTTAACTGAACATTTCTTTCCCAAATTTGATAGTTTCCGACAGAAAAATAAACGCAATTAATATAGTAGCCGATTAATTACAACAAAAAAGGACTTTCCTTGAGAAAAATTAATACCCAAGTCAATCAATAGTCAAATTTTTCTAGCTTTTTGTAATTAATTTTGAAACTTAACTGAACATTTCTTTCCCAAATTTGATAGTTTCCGACAGAAAAATAAACGCAATTAATATAGTAGCCGATTAATTACAACAAAAAAGGACTTTCCTTGAGAAAAATTAATACCCAAGATATTTTTTTGAAAAAAAAAATTGTTACGCTGTTATAAATGATAATCGAAATTTCCCTGCCCTTTCTTTTCTTTTTTGAAGAAAATGAGGGTGATTTAAAGGATAAAACTAATTTTGTACTAAGCAGGCAAAAGAGGGATTGCTTCAATTAAATTTTTTCTGCACTGAGTTGAATTAGACCAATCTCAAGATTGAACTTATAGTTTAGAAGTTATAAGACCTGTACTCTTTATAAAAGTATATGTAAATACACATAAGCAGAATATTTTCTATTGTTCTGCAACAGGACTTATTAATTTATACAAGTGTTCGGCAAGAATTTCACAGCGAAAAAAAGTCAACTTTACATTAAAATACTATATTTTCATTTATTAAAATACAGGATCATACACAGACACACTTGAGTATATTTTAAAGAAAGGCAAATATTCCTGATTTGTTACTTTTTCAATCGCTTTAGAAGTTCAAAATTTTGTTAATAACCATGATGAATTATTAATAAAATGCCTATGATATGAAGGTCCGAACATTAAAACAAGGGCTGCCTTAGAAATCTTTCGAAAGGACAAGTGCCCAGATGTTGTACCATTTGCAAACACAAACATTCGCTGGTCTGTTGTTCCAACAACTTCTTCATCTTTATAGAAAGCATTTGGTCTTTTCGAAATAACTACAAGATTATGAGGGGAAGCTTTTAAACCTTCAGGTCATTATGGTCTGCAGAAGAATGTATGAGATTATGGTTGGCAATTGTTCTGCAAGACTACCAGAGGCGGGGTAAGGGGGCTCGCCGGAAAACGCTGTCACTTATTCAAGATACAAATTGTTCTGCAAGACTTCGTTTGTTCTGCGACGTTCGTCACAGTTTTAGACGCTTTCTGCTTGTGGGTGTAGATATACATTTTGCACACAATATACACGTACAAAAAGTACAAATTTGTACTAATACCTACTCACGCATCTGATATTGCTATCTAAACAAGTGAGACATTGAGGTGATAAGTGAAGGTACGTAATTTTTTACGATAAGCCGAATGGGACAGTACACGAATTACGAGAGCGAATAATTCTAAAGTTGAAATCGTTTCCATACATAGAAAGTACAATTTTTTACATGACTTAGTATACATTTTACTTTGCTATCTAGGACTAGAAAAATGTGAGGTACATTTTCCGATGAATTTTTTTATGCTGAATTGAATGAAAAATAGTTCGAGTTGATAGGATAAACAGTGTTTTGAAGTTATAAAGGTTTTCTTCAAAATAAGTGAAATTTGAAAATAGTTAATTTAAGAATAACACACATTTCACGTTTTGAAATGTTAACCTTTCAAATTTGTTTGATGTCAATCTTTTGCGTTCCAGTTTACCATCTTTTGCATTTTGCAGCCAGAAAAAATATTCAAGAAACAATACCACACTTATCAGTATAGCAATGCGAGATGTGTAAATGAATGCAAGTACAAAATTGTACTCTTTGTACATAAAACGCTTATAACTTATAGACTATTAGTCTCATCATCTCAGAATTAGTCTCATATTTAATTCAGCTTGAAAATAATCAGAAAATGCATCTCGCACGTTTAAATAGTCAATAGCAAAGTAATGTATTTACATAAGTACGTGTCAAAAGAAATACACTTCATAAATAGAAACTCTTCCAAATTTTGAACTACTATTTGTTTCATTGATTTCTGTCAATTCTTATTCGATTCATTGTAAAAAATGGTGAAAAATATGTAGAAAACTACGGTTCATTTGCTTAGATGGCAATATCGGATGCGTACAATTTACAATTTTACAATTTAAATTGTATAAATTAAATTTAACAATTTTATATTTTTATATACAATACAAAGTACAATTTTGTACTTTTAGTGCATTAAACTCTTATAACTTCTGAACTATTAAATCAATCGCTTTGAGATTGGATTAATTCAATTCAGGGTGAAAAAATACAACAGAAAATATGTCCCCTTTCTCTAGCTTCAAGAAATTTAAATCCCCACCTAAATCACCCTTATTCCCCTCAAAAAACGGAGAAACGTACAGAAAAGAGTTAGAGAAGATTTAGGTATTATGTATAATAACTACATAACAATGTTTTCTATGAAAAAAATCTTGAATATTAATTTTTTCGAAGAAAAAGTTTGATTTTACTGAACTATTAGTTGATTATATTAGTTGAAGTTTAATTTTTTTAGCAAATAGTTTCGGCGAAAATTTTTTAATGGTTATTCAAACGGCAGAAACTGTAATTTGTTGAAGCCAAAAGGACTTAAACACATCAAGAATAGCTAGAACTCAAACTAGAAAAGTATATTTTTGTCTATGAACGTTCACATGGAAAATGATTAAATAGTTAAAAATTATCTTATTAATCTTCCAAAATTCAATGCAAAATAGACAAATTTCATAACTTTTTTGGTTTATTTTTGCAACCTAAAAAAGAAACAATTTTTCAAATCTGATTAATTGTTAAAATCAGAGAGCAGATTGTGGTAGTAACCAAACAGTCTCCAACTATCATTACAGAGCATAATTCAACCAAAACTCAATCACCCAACCATCGTGAGCAGGTAATAATTATTGCACTTATAATTACTAAATATAAACAGTAAAAAAAAATTAAAACAATTAAAAACTATTTTCTAAGTGACCTTCTACAGGCCCAAACTATTTACACTCTATTGAGCGAATATCTTGTTTGTGGTTTTATTCACAATTTTAATATCTCATTTCATAACTTCACTGAAACATAATACGACAGCTAACAATCATGATGCAGGATTTATTCAAAGACAACCAATCAGAGTAAGAGGATTTTATCCCTATCCAATTAAATAACAGAAAAAGCTTGAAAAAGTATATCTGCCACGTTGGCCTGAAGAGAAAAGAAATGCTATCACTCTAACAGATGGATTAAACGTGATGAAAGATGCCTTCAGGCGGACATCAGAGAGATGCTCGTAGAGCATTCAAGATATATGAGTACATTCGCGTCTTTTCTGACTCACTTACTGTAATACGATATGCTAGGTAACCATGGCAACTGAGATCCTCTATCTTGGTGCACAAAGTAGTCCCAAGAAAGAAGGGTGCGCTTAAGCATTAAAACGTGACGGTGCATTGCTATGCATTGACCTTCTTAGAGGTGTGATAAATTGTCAGAAATAAAACATTACAGATGATCACTCTTGACTTCTATTGAATGAGTTTTTTTCTTTCACGAGAGTTTTGAGTTTAAAAAATGAATAAAATGATATTTTCTTCATCCCTTTCGAAACTTTCTAATGAACTGGTATGAATTGAAATTAATAAAGCTTTCTTAAAGTCATATTTGTATCATTTAATAAATAAATTTAATCAGATTAAATAAGATTGAATAACAGAGAATCATTTAATTTTGCAATTTTCTTTTCCTTAGCATGGTCGATCTTATTCTTCACTGGTGGATTACTCGTGGTTGTTGTGAAATCACATGATTTGCATGTTTAAGATCTCGGATGCTTAAGTCCTTATCTGAAATATTGATTGATTTTAGCGATTAAAGCCCGTGAACATTATATATCATGATAACGATTTTTTTTCTATAATAATTTTAAATTTTATCTTTTTTTATGTAACAGAAGCATCATTTTCTAGCAAAAATAAAACTGGAAACTGAAGTGAATAATTTCAAGTTAAGTATTTCAGAAATTTTTTATTATGATCAAACTGTTTAACTGTAAGGCTTACATAACAAATTAGTTTACCATTACTAAGTTACGATTTTGAGATGCAAAAATATCTTGAAATTGAAAATGAGACCTGTGATGTATGTGTACTAAAATAGGGAGGGGAGGCTTGGCATATCATCAGAATATTGCATCTTAGAAAATAAAATTGGTCTAAAAATAACCAAAGTAACTAAAAATTTAAATTTCAAATGCAAATAGCTCAAATATTTAAATTTAAAAAAACTATTAAAGATATTAATTATAAATTATTAAAAATTATTAGATTAAATAAGTTTTTCATCTTAATTTTATACACTCTCTATCATTTTTTTTCTGTATATGTTTTATTATAATTTCAATGTTGAGATTTTTTGATTGATAATTTTAACTTTCTCTTAGCCAGTATGGAATTTACAAACTAGACAGCTTTTAAACTTTATATTTGCCTTTTGTTAATTTGTGCTTCATACGTTTTTTTATTATTTTTTTATCGTGACACATAAACTCGATTTCATAGTCAATGACATGAACCTATAGGTATCTAAAAGTGACTCGTTCACTTTATTTCTTCCGAGTTTGTCAGTTTATTGACTTTATTTATTGTATTGCTTTTAAACAAATTAAAAAATTATATTTCCATTGTTCATGATTTTAATCATTTGTTGATGATTTTAAATCCATCAGCAAATTAATAAAAGTAATGCATTTAATTTATTTGTTGGATTAAAACGTCAAATGAAAATCCTACCGACGTAGTGAGAATGATGGTTGGATTGGAAGCAGTAATCCATCCATTACTGTATTTATTTATTGTATTTTATAATATTGCTTTTTGTAATAAATAAAAAACTTTGTTTTGGATTTCACATTCGTAAACAAATTATAAAAATAATACATGTAATTTATTTGCTGAAAACGTCACATGAAGAGTTTGCCTGCCTAGTGAGAATGATGGTTAGATTGGAAGCAGCAACCCACCCATTACCATAACCCATCTATTCTGCATTTATTTACTATATTGTATTTAGTTTGCTTTTTAAATAAATAAAAAACTATACATTGTATTAGAAATTCATCAACAAATAGAAAACAAATAATGCATATAATTAAATTGTTTAATTAAGGCGTCAAATGAAGAATTTACCTGCCTAGTGAGAGTGATGGTTAGATTGGAAGCAGTAACCCATCCATCAGCCACTCTGTTTGTGACTGACTCTCCACCCACCACCCTTGAACCATCAACAACCCACGTGATCTGGGACGGAGGATTGCTAGCCTCAGTTGAGCACGTCATCGTAACTGTATCTGATTTCTTTGCTACTAAAGGTCCTATCAGCTTTACATTGGAAGGAGGAACTGAAAGGAAAAATAACAATAATAAATAAAAATAATAGAAAAAATAATAATATTATACTTCTGCTTTATCAGCTCCAGAATAAGCGTCATACATTATGCAAATTGAAGTTTGGTTTCAAAGAAAATCTCAATTATGAAACGTTTATTTTTCCTTTGAAAATTATACGGTTTTATTTCTCTCTTTCTGATCAACCGTAGAATTCCAAAAGAAAAATATTATACTTTCATTTTTCAAAAACTAAAAATAATATTTCACAACCAATTTATTTGCGTAAATGAATTTGATGATTATGTGCAAGAAATTTTCGATTCGCTTAAGAAGTTCCCGAGATGTGGGGAAATACGCGAAGAGTGAAATTAACACTAATGAGGCTAGACTTTTGACTGCCTTTCCTCACTGAACAATTTTAGCCATATTTTCCACATTATGGCTGCCCCAATATTTTGATAGTTAAAATTCAAAATCACTTTTGTAATTGATTCTAAGATCTAATTAATAGTTAGCTCTAATTAATTGACATACTTGAAGACACCCCACTGAAATTGGCTCGTATTTGGTAAAAAGTCAAGCATTAGAGCAAAAAATTTTTTGAGTGATACCTTTTTATTTTGCATACAAGTTTTTCAACGCATGCATTTCTTCAGGAATGACATTCATTTTACATAAATACTTTCTTTGCATACATAGAGTAGACCGTACAGTTATTGTTCTTAACGTTTTATGAATTGCAATATGTATATAAATTTTAGAGTCTACATCATTTTATGCACCTTCTTTCAATTTTGGATACGTGTATATCCCAAACTTGAATTTAATAAGCATTAGAGTTTTTAGAAGAAATAAATATATTTCAGTTTTAAATTGTACTTCATTTTAAGTGTAAATTTATTTTTATTTTGCCAAGGAATAAATTTTCACTATTTGCTCATATAGAGTAATAATGCTGTATAATTACTACTATGTTGCTGTATTTTAAAATTATTTTAACTAGTGTGCATATTACTACAGCAATAATTAATAACTAAGTGCATATAAATTTGCAATTCAAGTGCTGCGGTAATGCCAAATAGATTTTGCCCATGCATATTGCTTAGAAGATTCGAATGCTATATTTAATAATTGAGTAAGTGAATCGAGCAAAGATTTTAAAGCTATCCGAAAGGAACTCCGAAAGCAATTTGTGGGGTTGGCGAATGAAAGCGAGCAGGGAGTGTTAGAAAATTATTGTAACTATCCATACTTACAGTGAACACTCAGCTTTACTGAGGCAGCGATTGGCTCTTTTGTCATGATACTGGAAGCCTCACAACGATAGACACCATTGTTGTCGGACGCATCAACTCTAAATGTGTGTATGTTAGTAGTCACGTGACCACTGACTGTATATGTTGCGTCCACTTGCACATTCCCTCGTTTCCATATGAGATGTGGTGGTGGATTACCTCCTCGTGTTATGCATGCTAGAGTTAATGTGTCACCTGATGTTACGACGTCACCCTCAATGTATCCCTCTATTTGAGGAATACCCGGAGCATCTGCAAGAAAGAAACATTGCGTTTCAGTTCTAAAAAATTAATTACATCAGATCAGAATAATATTTAACTCAAGATAACTTAAATCAGTGTTATATTTGATTGGTTAGTATGTAACTAATCAAAAACTGCTGGTCTGAAACATGACTTCTTTTGTATGTTCTTTATTTATGTCAAACATATTAGCGTAACTTGATGAAAATCCTTTAAAATTGTTTTTTTTTAACAGAGAGTGTTTCAAAATTTCTTCAACAAATGGAAAGGGGTAATAAAAGGCATCATAGAGATCAAAACTTACCATGGAACATGAAATTGCAAACCACAGTGAAGGGGGGGGGGAAATCACGAAGAAATCCATGCAGGTTTCCAACTGGAGACCAACGACTATAAAATATGGTACAAACTTGCTATCTATAAAAATGTTAATTTTATTAATTATTGCTGGAAGCGTTCAAAGTGACAATCACTACCATCATTGCACAGTGTACAACGGCAAAAAACCGATTCCTGGCTGTGGTCGAAGATACAAGATGCGCATTTGTTGTCTATTGATGCAACGGCAATCCATGCTATGAGTTTGCATGTTTATGAGCTATGGATATGCTTGCGTTTTCATGATTCCTATCTTCTTAACGTGGTTTGCCATGTTCTATCGTAAATCTTCATTTTATTGATGTATTTTATCACCATAACTAAGTTTGAAACACACTGCAAAGATAAATGATCAAAATCAATTGAAAAGACCTTGATAAAAGTAAGTTACAATCTTGGAAGATGTGCTTCAGCATAAATTTGAAAATTTTGATTTTCGCTCATTTGAAAAGTATGTCAAGGTCATTTTTTATTATCATATATACGACTAACTTTAACTAACATGCATATATATAGGACTAACTTTCGCAAAGAATTCGTAAACAATTTACTGAGTGTGCTTTTAAAGCAACGTAAGTGGTCTTAAATATTTTTGTTTTGTTGAAAACGGTTTCCACTTCAGTTGCTACTGCATGAACATTAAGGTTCATATTATTCCCTTCCTACTTAATTTATGAAACAGCAGTTGATATAAATACTTACTTAATATAAAATTGAATTACATCTTCCATAAGTAACCAGAAAATTTTGAACTTTTGATTTTTTTAAAATTTTAATCGGATTTAACGTACAACGGATTTAAGTTATCTTAGGCTTTTCATTAGGCAATGGACAGTGGAGTTAGGCTATGTTTTGCTTAGTGAAACAACGAATGTTGCTTGATATGTTATTTGTTTAGTTTTTTTCTGGTAGATACTGTCATTAAATTAATTCTTCTTTAACCACTTTTTTTTAGAAATTTATAACAATGCATAAAAATTAATCACATCAACAACTGAACAATACTCGTTCGAATTAAAATATTACTCAAATCAAATAACACATAGGAAATTCCTTACGCTTAAATTATGAATTGATAATGCAAATTACGTTTAGACAGGATCTTTTGTTAAGGTTGTTTGGAAGTTGGCCTGTCTTTGAAAAGTACTTACGCAGTACATTTATGGCGACGGAGCACCTGAGGTACCTCTCGAGAGCCGGGTGACGAGCTTCACATGAATAGATAGCACCATTGTCGTCCACACCCGGGTAGAGAGTAATTGAGCTGGTTGTCGTGTACCGGCGGTGTTTGTCTTCGTCAAAAGACATTTGGGCATCCTCTGCAAATAAATTAAATAATGATTGCTTTTCTTTCTACAAAAACTCATGAGAAAATCAGAGATAAATATTTTATTGATCTTAAGCAAATTGTAAATAATTTTCGATGACATACTCTTAGAATATAAGAATTAGAAATATTATTAAGAAAAGAATTCAAAATATTAATTCAAACAATTAATAAAAATAAAATTAATAAAAATAAAACTAATAAAAATAAAAATAACATCCAAATGGAAAAAATGCGCTAAGCAGCAGAGAAACCAAGAGGAATAGAACACATGAGACGGAGAAAAATTAGTAAAAATTGAAAAAATGAAGAAAAAAAATGGAAAAAAAATTTAAAAAATGAGAAAAAAAATGAAAAAAAGAAGAAAAAAAAGAAATATAACTTAGAAATATAACGTTCCAGCAATCCTTGACCTGTATTTCGTTAATTTTGAAAATCATTTCGTCACAATATCACGTAATTGGCGACTAAACGCGAATTCTCAAATACATGACGAAAATGTTTCCTCAACTCGGAACTTCATCGCAATGCATTGTGTTAGATTGTTAACTAGAATGACGAAACTTGAAGACTAGATGATCAAATCTATTATGACAAAATATCTCTTAACTTTTGACGAAATACGTTTCTTCAAAGAAGTGACGATAGTTATTTTGTCACTTTGACGAAATGTTTATTCGAAGTATATATGAGGAAACAGTTTCGCTACAAACAAAATGTTTCATGAATTTTGAGTATCCATTTCTTACAGTGTAGAAATCAAGTTAAATGCCAAGTCAATGATCAGTAGAAAATTCAAATATTTTCAGTAAATGTATTAAATCATATTTGCCTTTTTTTCTACTTAAAATCACGACAAAATATTAGAAAAAAGTATACAGCTAATATTAAACAAATTCTCAATAGTTTAGGAAACAGAAATAAAATGAATTGTCAAATGACCAGTAGAAAATTCGAACATTTTCGGTAATTGACATGAATAATGATTTCTATAAAGGATATGGCATACTTTATGCAAGTATTAAATTATTGTAATTTATAGTACTAGTATTAAAGTGCAAAAATGGACATACTATAGTTTCTGTCCGATAAGCAAAAACTTTCCTCGGTGTCTAAACACTAAATGATTTGGTGTTTAGACACTGAGGGATGTTCTTATTTATAGAACAGAAACTATAGTATGTCCCTTTTTGTACTTTTATTTGTGCTTTATTCACGTTATTTTTTGCTTCAGCCAAATTAATGACTGTTTTTGTTTTATTAAAAGTCATGAGATAATTTTAGACAAGTATTTTATTAATCTCAAATATAGTCAATAATTAAAATAGTCAAAATAAATAGTCAATAATAATAATAATAATAAGGATTTAAGTAACTGCCAAGTGATCACTGAAAAGTTCGAACGATTCTTCGGTAAATTATTTAAATAACGATACTCTTTTTTGTTTTCAACTTCATGAGAAAATCAGAGACATATTTTTTATTTATCTTAAGCAAATAGTGAATAATTTCAGGTAAGAGAAATAAAGTTAAATGCCAAGTAATCCGTAAAAAGTTTAATAGTCCAAAAGAAAACAAGTTAAAGGTAAATGTGAAAATATATTCTTATTAGATTTAATAAATTAGATTTATTATACAATTTATAAATGAACAATACACAATTCTTAAAAAACAATCAGTATGACGCAAGACTCGATTGCGCTAAAACAAATGCAGTACAATGAATGCAATACCTACTACAAAGCTTGTGAGTGGAAATTCTTTTCTATGTAAGTTTAATTTTATAAAATTTTTTGAAATAAATGCGTTTTGATAATGTTGTATTATGAAATTCGGTAGTTTCAAACACAGCATTAAATAATACATCTGAAATGTAAGCAGAGGTATTATTTTAATGTCAAATTTATTCTTTTCATTATGCAAATTTTTACAGAATTATTCATTGATCACTATTCAGCATTCTTTTTACGATAATGAATAGTGTTGATATATGAGTGAAAATACGCCACTACTTGAGAGCTGGATTCAACCCTATTATCACTCATAAATTATTACTTCTGACACTGAGTAAGTTTGTTCCAAACTATCAGAATATGGTAAACTTTACAATGTTTCAGGCACTATTGGCACATCAAAGAGCTTGGTAGTTTTCACCAAACTGCTTTGGTAATGATTTTGGCAAAATTAACAATGAAACATAGCTTCATAATGTGTGATAAAATTTGCTATATGCGGTAAAATTTGGTAATTTTATCATGATACCTTTGAACCTGGCACAAAAACCATTTATTCAACTTAATTTACTTTTCCGTTTTGCATTTATAACCGTGGTAATAACAACTATAATTGTGAAAACCAAACTCCTTAGGCAAGCCGTTACCAGATGAACGGAAAAATTAGCAAAACAATGACTTAAATAACATCGTTTTTTTGGTTTTATTAGTCAGAATTACTTGCTTTTTTTACCTGAAATGTCATTAACATACCATAATTTTACCATACCATAATTGTTCACTGTACCAATATTATGAGTCACTAAAGCTGAGATTATTTTTCTGAGAGTAAGTCTAGAATTCTAAGAAATTTTATTGTACATAGATTTCAATGCCTGATGGAGAATCATGTCTTAATCCTTAATCATTTTAAAACTTCGCATATTATTTATCTAATGCTAAATAATGGACCCAAATAAGGAGTCTGTTCTACAACATCGTGACTTCTACTCCTAAATCCTTGACACTGCTAAACGCAACACGTTATAATATTAAGTGTCTTTCCAGTATCAGCTAGCGAATTGGCTTGATAAGGATCCTTAAGTATTTGTAATTAGTAGCAGGAAGACATTACTGCCAGGAGAAAATTGACTTCAAATAGATTTTTTTCCCTCAAAAACCATATTATTTTTATTCCTTTCACGTGTTCTAAGAGATTGTTTTAATTCTACGAAAATACCTTGATCTTCTAGCAGAATATGGCGTGCCTTGATCTTGCGTCACGTCCACCGGAACATGATGAATAATGAAATAGGAGCTTTGAATAAGGAATGGAAAAGGGGAAGGAGTTGCTAGTTACATCCTGGCAAAAATAACAGTAGCAGTGTTAGGAACAATGCTGCTCATAAAATAACTCGCTTAATAACATTTAAATTAGTTTTCGTTCCAAGGAAAGACACGTTCAGTTCAAATGCAAATTTCAAAGAACGTGCTTCCTCATTTAGTTCAGTAATATTCTTTTTTCCTTCCAAAAAGGTCTAGATTTAAAGTAATATGCATAACAGAAAAATGCTTTGGTTAAGACATGTAAATTCTGCACGAATTCTGTGTCAATATAATTGGGAATTTTGGAACTTAATAATTTATATTTTTGCAAATCGAAATGAACTATAAAACAGACCTTAATCCTGACAGGGGCCCAAAATTAAGAAAAATTTTGTTCCTTCCCTCTAAAAGTATTAGAAAAATCTTAGTTAATTGACGGAAACTTAATAAGGTCTAGTTTTAAAATAGAATTAACAACAGAAAAATGCTTTTTTTAGCCCCTTCTCTGTCGGATATTGTTCGAATTTCTGACCCAAAAAAAGCATTTTTATATTGCTGAAAATTTATATATGTTCTATCTGAAATTCGAAATTGCAAAATATTTTTGTCAGCAAGTAGTTTTCTGCTTGACCTATTGGTAATGAAATATGTGATGTCCTGTCCACTGATCGCCAGTTTTCCCTGCAATGTAAGTTTTGTCTTTAAACAATAAAAATAATATAAAATTGAAACAACGAGGAGCAGGACACAATGTTTTCTCTTCAACCCACATCCTTAATGACCTCAAGTTATCGTCTTATGATTCACTAGTCTTTGAATAAATAATATCACTTGATAAATCAGAACTTTCGCTTTCCGACTGAGAGATAATAAATTCACTGTCCTCGGATGCACTTTCTGAATACATCGTAACTATTTTGACATGCAACGGTAACACTAATAAAATCGAAATTACAGAAAGTACAAAATAATTTCGATTTCAAATCAAGGCAGGAAATCTCGAAAATTGTGAAGAAATTAGGACTATTTGAGACATCTCTTAGCAATATTCAGAAATAGAAGGATAATCAAGGTATTTAAAGATGCGTATAAGTAGCAAGGATTTCAATTTCAATGATGCAATATTTTTTGTTCGTCGCATGGCATGCGACACCGACTGAGAGGGGGTTGAGACATGTAAATTTTGAATGAGTCAATATAATTAAAAATTTTCGAACATAATAGTATTGAAAGTAGTAAAAATTGAGAAAATTTCCATTCTATCCATTAAAAGTATGCACAAAATCTAAACTAATTGACTTTTAAGGTACTTTCCTGTCTAGTTTTAAAGTAATATGTCCATCAGAAAAATTCTTTGTTAAGACAAGTAAATTTTACGGTATTTTGTGTCAATATAATTGCAAATTTTGAAGCTAACTAGTCTTGATTTTTACAAATTGAAGTGAATTGCAAAACAAACCTCAAACCTTATTGGCAACAAACCTTGTAGACAAAAACATTTCATAGAACACTTCATAGTAAAGAACATTTTTTTTTAGTTTTTATATACAGGTTGAGAAAAATTTAGAAAAAGCTGCTATAAAAAATATTGTGGTTCTGGATAATTATCCATTAAAAAATAAATAAAGTAAGAAGAGGAGCCAGACATTTAAGCAATTCCGCGATAGCAATTTTTTCTATTTTCGTAGACAACATTCGATTTCTATTTCAGATCACTCTTGTTTTCCACAACTACGATTGGCAGGTCTTGAGATTTGGCATCTATTTTTGAGCCCTCGAAACATGACGCCTCTTTTTACTATCTTCATATCGTTTTTTGAAGCAAATGAAGTCTTGTATTACCGAGTATATCTTCTTGTTTTAGTTTCTTGAGATTATTCATCTAAGAATTAACATTATTGTATGCTTTAATATGGTTTGTGTACACTCAAAATTTCTTTTATTAACAGAACATTTATTTAAAACAGAAAAGTTTTCTTTTCTTTAAATGAACTTTCTAGTAAATTTATTTTAATCTGATCTTCACAATGATTAGTACATTTCAATCAAAAATAATACTACGCTATCTGGTCAAAGTAACCGAACATCCAGTGAACTTCTGAGGCATAATGTATCCGAACATTCAGTGGACTCCTGGACTCCAGTGGACTCCTGAGAACATCCAGTGGACTCCTGAGGAGTTTCCTAGGGCATAAAGTAAAGTTCGCCCCCAGTTCGGATTTCTGACATTAATGCATACGCCTGGGAACTCTTTCCACTAGTTTTCGATAAGTGAACATAGGAGAGGACTTCTAGGTTTTCCTCATAGTTGAAATTAATGTAGGCGGTGAGGATGGCCTATTTAATGACTGCTTAATCAGCATTCTAATTCTTCCCAAAGGTGTTTTATGAAATTAAAATCAGACCTCTGGAAAGATCAACCTAGTGTTTGAACACCCACTTCCTCAAATAGTAGCGTCACAAATCTCGATGTTTAAGGGAAGCAGTTATCCTGCTTAAAGAGAAATGGGCCTTCTCCAAAATATTGTCATTCTCTCGGGAGAGCAGTGTTGCTCAGAATGACCGAATGTCTATATACTTTTCAAAGTTGTTTCCAATAACAGGGCAGTGAAGATGGCTGATTTAGATGACTACTTCAACTGCTTTCTAATTATTCTCAAATATGATTTATGGAATTAAAATCGAGGCTTTTAAAATACTAACTTAGTTGTTGAACACCTATTAGATCAATTCATGGCTGCGCAAATCTTGATGTTCAAAGGGTGCAGTTGTTCTGCTCGAGGAGAAACGGGCCTTCTTTAGAACATTGTCACTCACTCGGAGGAGCAGTGTTGTCCAGAATGTCCAAGTATCCACAGACTCCTCAGAGTTATGTTTCCAACGGCGGGACAGTGAGGGTGGCCGATTTAGATGACTACGTAAGCTGCATTTCTAATTATTTTTAAATGTGTTTTATGCAATTAAAATCGGGGCTCTAAAAATACCAGCCTAGTTTTGAACACCCATTTCATTAAATCATGGCTGATCTCGATGGTTAAAGGGAGCAGTTATTCTGCTTGAAGAGAAATGAGATTTCTCCGGAATATAACTAAAGGGGCGAAACCAAATCATAAAAAACTCCCCCGTACCAATATACTTTCACTTATGGAAGTGGTTATTCTGATAGTTTTGGCCTTAGAATGTATAATTGAGCCTTTATTCTTAAGTGTTAATAATTCAAATAATAGTATAAGGTCATTTTAAGGTGAATAGTTCCTTTTTTTTAAAATCAATGATTAAATTTTTTTATTTTATTTTTATTAGTATATTTCATGAAAATATTATATGTCATAAAAAATAGTTTATTTTATAAAAACTGCATATATTTTTAATACAAAAAAGGTAAATATAACGTACAGAAAAAATACCAATTTAACACTGCTTCCTCTCTATTATTTTCTCTTTCATTTTCTTGTTTATGAAAAAAATATCGAAATAGAGGAAATTGAAATTATAAATTTTTTTTTTTGGAGTAAGGAGGGGGAAATTAAAATTTAAAACAATGGGCTATTCTTGATCCGTCAGGAACAAAAAATACGGATGAACAAATTAATGTGCAGTAAGACTAAAATGAATTATTTGTGAAATGTAAATTAAGCTACTTAGTTTCCTAATATTAAAAACTAATTACTAAAATAGAAGATACTTTCTTTAGAAAGCTATTTTAACATAATGTAAATTTAATACAAAAGAGACTTACCATCAAAGAGTTCGTTATCATTTTTGTACCAAACTAGTTGTGTAGGAGGTTTACTACCAACTGCTTTGCAATAAAGAACTACTTTGTCCCCTTGCCGAACTTCTATGTTGTTTCCTGGAGGCAAGTCATTAATCGATAATGTTTGAGGAGGGACTGAAAATCAAAATAAATTTTCCATTAAATCGATAAACAATACTTTTATGTACACTACAGTATATAGAAAAATTGACATTAGAAAAAATTTATTTACGTTTAAAAACTTTTAAAATTAATCTAATTTTTATGAAAATATTATTATGGTAAGGTAAAATATCGAAAATGGTTTCAAGATATGAATGATAAACGCATAGAAAAAAACACATTTAAGTAAACATTAACTATTAATTTTCTCCTAATGTGCTTTATTGTACTTCTCATAAGTACAAAATCACATAAATATCTGTACAATATCTCATATTACTGAACTAATTGATTATAAAAGTAACAATCGTAAAATCGTTAAATAATTTTTTTAATGACACAATACAAAAACAACTGCAGACAGAACATAAAATCAGCACTAATAATATAATAAAAACAACAACAAAAATGGCATAAATATATAATTTAACCTTTTTAGAAGCGGCTAAAGGAGAAAGAAGTGTTTCCCCAGCCCCTTGAGTTCCAAGTTTATACGTGCTAAAGAGTGCGTATATGTTATTGGCCATAGATGGCGCCACTGGAAAACAAGAAGATGCACACACCTCTTGCCTTAATGGCATACGACAACAATAACAGTGTTATCGTATCGTGTTACAATAACAGTTCTCTCGTATTAATACGAGAGAATCGAGTGGAGATCACGTCTGCGTTATCTTGGGCCACTAGAATCAAAAAGGTTCGTTTTATATATGATACCGTTGGCCCTGAAGGAAGAATTGAGCAATCACGTATATGTGATCATGGTCTTGAAGTAGTTAATTTTTAAATCCATTCTGTGTCTCGAATCCCAATATCTCTTCTGATATGAAACAGCATTGATTGCAAAGCAACTATTAGAATTTTGCGCATTTATTTCTTCGAAAGTGTTGTAAAATTTGTAAATTCGGGCCCGGGCGATTTATTGAACGCAAACGTTTTAATAGACACGGCAGTCATAACAGTAGCAAAACAAGAGACAGAAATTGATTTCTTTGCAGGCCATTATTTCCAAAACCTTATCAATCAACATTTTTTGAAGATTTATTTCATTAAAATTCTTCCAGAATTTTCTGTAATAATTGTGTTAATATTTTCGCAGTGCAAAAAGGAATAGAGGTATCTCTTATTTCGAAAGACACTGTTTTTGCAGCAAAAAAAAAGTCAGCGATTTCATTTCCATAACGGCAGCAGTGCGATTGTATGCATTGCACTGATATTTCTTTACCATTTTCAGTTAACTTGTTTAGTAACTTGTTTAGTTCCGGTTCAAAAACAAAAGCAACAGACATTGGTGGTGGCTTGTTAAAAGAAGTCGCTTGGGGAGCTGCTATGGAGATGCAGAAGATAACAGCCTTTGAAAAATATTCAGTGTTGCTACAGAAATACCATAAGGCTATGGGTACAGCTGCATTCACTTAAAAGTAATTAACATAAATTGGCCAATCTATTAGTCCGATTTCAAGTTATAAATGCATGCGTAAAGGTTTTTTTTAAAGAAAATTAAGTTAGTCTTTTAAATTATCGTTTCTGGATATTGCAGAGTGGTTCCTTTTAAGGCAATTTTTAAAGATAACATAATTCTTAACTGTAAATTTTAAATATTTAAAATACATACTTTAAAAACGGAAAACGTGGTTACTTTAAAATCAGTGTTTGAACAAAATTCGATCTATTCATATCTTTACACATTATAAATACAAAGATAATAATATTTTTAAATTTCTGGTTTTCGGCAAGAACTTAAAATAGTACAACAGTCGTTATTTCTTGCATATAATAATAATCTGGGCATAAATTTGTTTACAATAAAGTTTTAGCAAACACTTAAAATAGAAAAAGTAAAGTTATTTGCAATAGAAGAAAAATATGGGAAGTAGTTAGCTTACAATAAGGCTAACTACTCTGTATAACTCTGAGTATAACTTTACGAAGTTGTACCTTTTTATAGGAATAAACCTGTTCTTTTTGTGACAATGCAACTAGCTTAATGTTTGGAAAAATTTTAGTTTTATTTGCAGGCATAAGAAATGGTCTTATGCTAAACAAAAACATTGCAAACTTATTGTGTATGATTCTGCGAATGATGCTGTGGGCTGTGTAGGAAATAGATTGTAACATTTGTTTGCAAAATTTCTATTTTCTTTCAAATTCGACAACAAAATAACATATTCATTCGAAGCTGGAAAGAATCAGTTTTAGATACAAAAAAAAACTATTTTAATATTAAACAAAGCCGTTTAGCTTTTATAAAAATATTGATGATTTAAATTTACGAAAAAAATAATAAGTTTAACCATGTTCTAGAATATTTTATGGAATTTAATCAAATAAAACTGCTTGAAAAACTATTTTTTTTTCAAAACTTCTAGAAAATTTTTCATTACTAAAATGAATATTGAAATGCCATATTTCTTTTTTTTTATATTCACTTCATGAAGAATCCATTTACAGACAGAAACTCCATTAAAATCTTCAGCATTAAAACTTTTTTTTTATTTTATTGCCATCCTAGCTTAATTGCTTTAGTGGAAAAGAACTCCATTACGTTGTCGAGAAAATATCCTTATATGGCGACACTCTAAAAGAAACTTCCCCAGAAAAATTCTGTAATGTCGCCAACACTAACAACCAATTTGGCAAAAGCATGAGATAGCCAATTACTGCGGTTAAAGAAGAACGTATATATTTCGTTAAACCGTTTTCTACCTAAAGGCGAAATTTTGTTGCTCCTATATTTTCAAAAATTATATGGAGCTTTTAACTGGACGACGATTGAGAGATGTTCTTCATTTTTATTTCTTTATTTTTCTTTTTAAATGAACGCGAAAGAATACTAAAGGGGCNCTACAAATAGTTTTTATATATATATATGTGTGTGTGTGTCCTTCCACTTACCGGTATCTTGCAAAATTGATTTAAAATATTATTGTTACAAGTTTGCCATATTACAAAATATGAAAATAAAAGATGAATTTTTTTTTGAAAAATTAAAAAACATGAAAGTTTTCGAAAATTCATCTGTATTTTTGATTGGTAAATACAAATTAACATGATTTTTTATAATACTTCGAAGAAAAAAAACTTTTTAAAAAACTTGTCTTTTATCGATAGTTTTTAAAAAAATGCGTAAATAGATAAGAAACATATTCTAATTTTGAAGAAGATGGAAAGATATGAAAGCCATCTAAATTATTTTAGAATTAAATGATTATATTAATAATCATTATATTATCATATATCATTATATTGATAATTTACAATCGCAATTATTCTCAGATTATTTTAATACAATACTATACTATTAACTATACTATTAACTATAATTATTCTCTGATTTGGTGATTTTATTAAAATTTATATACGGTAGCAACAATTTACGAAAGCTATCATAAGATTAAAGTGAAATGGTTTCATATGAATTTATATATATAAAAAAAATTTCAGTAAAAATTATCACAATTTTTGATTGAGTAAATATTTGTTTCCAAAAATTTTTTCAGATAAAACATTTTACGAAAATTATCACAGTTAGTTTTTGATTGAAGTATTTTATCAAAAGATAGTTTTTATGAAAATTATCCCAATTATGCTCTGGTTGAGTGATTTTTATTAGAAATAAGTTTGGAGAAAAGATTTAATGAAAATTATTTTAATTTATTGCTGATTGAATAAATTGACGAATATTTTTATTCGGATAAAACATTTTAAGAAAATAGCATTAGTTCTTGATGTAATTGTTTTTAAATGAAGATAAAAGATTTTGCCAATGGAGATAATGCATGTGTGCCGTAGTAGGAAAAGAAAGAAGAAAGTTTCCCTTTTCTGTCTGTAACCATTATACGCAATTTTTTGTTTCTAAATTTTTATGAAAAACAACAAAAATTCAAACCTTTCTCAATGATTTTATTCTTTTTTCAAACAAGGATTTTATTAATATTTTTGAAACAGTGTAAAAGTATTTGAACCTTTTCAACAATTTTTTTTCTCATTCTTCAAACAAGGAATATTCTAATAATTTTAAAAACTAAATAAACTTAACTTCGTGTTTATTCCTATATTTCTCAATGATTTTATTCTTTTTTTTAAACAAGAATTTTATTAATATTTTTGAAACACTGTAAAAGTATTTGGACCTTTTCAATAATTTTTTTCTCATTCTTCAAATAAGGAATATTCTAATAATTTCAAAAACTAAATAAACTTAACTTCGTGTTTCGTAACTATATTTCGTGGTATGTTCAATTCATCTGCCATTAGTATCAATCAAACTATCCGTTTCCCTTCAATCCCTTTGTCAATCATTTAATATTAGTAACTGTACTATTATTATATCTATTCGTATGTATAACCCTATTAGTATGTATATATCTATTAGTAATATAATTATATCCATTAGATAGTATAAATTTATCTTTTTCTGCATGCAACTTTTTTACACTTTTTTCCAAATTTTTCAGTAAAAAGGCAACAGAAACAGAACCTTTTCAAAAAGTTTTTTTTAGATTCTTTAAACTACTCAATTTTTTAAACTAATATTTTACTAATATTTTCAAAACTATTACGAAAACTTAGCTCCATGTTTCTTTGCTATATTTCTTTGTGTGTTCAATCCATCTATCATTAGTATCTATAAAGTTATTGCAAATCAATCCATTTACCATCCATTTGTTATTAGTATTTGTGCTAATATTATATCTATTACTATATCATCATTAGTTTGTCTATTTACACTGAGCATCTATATAAGTTTCTTTTTTTTCTTTGCGACTAATCCTTATCCATATTTTTTTCTGAGTTTTTCAGTAAAACGACGAAACTTTGAAAGCTTTTAATGATTTTTTATTTAATTATTTATCTATATATACTTTTTTTATTTTCCAGAAAAAGATTATATCATTATTTTTAAAAACTATAAGGAAAACTTAACTCTGTGTCTATTTCTCTTATTTCTTTGTGTGTTCAATCCATTTACC